AGACATCAGTGAAATGGCTGAAGAGGCCTGTTGGAGTGCAAAGTCTCTCTCTCTGTCTCCCTCCCTCCCACTCCCTCTCTCTCTCTTTCTGTCTTCCTCTCTCTCTGTTTCTCCCCAACTCAGCAGCAGCAGGTGGCTGTCTAACGTGAGTCAGGTCCTGCTCAAGGTTTCTGCCTGTTAAAGGGAAGTTTTTTATTGGCACTGTCAGTCATGTTGGATTGATTGAACTTTAACCAAGTCTGCTTGCTTTGAGATCATATCTGAAGAACACAAGTACATTTTTGTTGTCTTGTTCTTAACTCTCTGACCTACCTAACATTCAAAATCATTAAAAATCTAAATGATTTCAAATGTGTTTCAGTGTTCTTCATTGCATAATTTCAGCTGTGTTATTAAAGTGGTATGTTATTTAAATCACACCACTAAATAACAATTTATTTTTACCCACTGCGCAATGCAACGTCAAAATGACATCTATTTAATGTATTTTTTTGACGATGAGGTACAAATGTGGACGTCATTTCAACGTCTAAAAGAGGTCCAATTATGACGTCTAAATCTTGGATCCATTTTGCACGTTGTGCCAACGTCTAGATTTGATCTTGAGATGACGTCCAATGATGATGATGATGTCTAAAAAAGGTTCAATTTGGACGTCGAAATTTGTAACCTATTTTGCACGTTGCACTGACATCTAGATGTGGTCTTTGACGGACCGACCCAACACTGACTTGATCTGCACGTCTCTTCGACGTCCGATGTTTGGTGGGTAGCAGCTATAAAGCACGACACTTGAAACTAGCAAAAAGAGCTGGCCCAAGACAAAAGCGAACTCAGCAGGCGCTTAGGGTTTCATGGCCATTGGGGGCCCACAATGATCAACAACAGGGGCGCCAAAAGTGGGTATGCTGTGTATGTGTCGAATAGTGGCATGGGGGGGCATGCGCTAAGTACCTACCGAGTAGTTGTCGTCTGTGATATCACTTAGCCAAAGAATCCCCCCACCCCATCCGCTCTCCAGAAATAGGGAGCCCAAATCATATTTTGCTGAGGGCCCCATGGAGGCTTGGGCCGGCTCAGCCTCAGAGTCCCTATGACATGACGACAAATGATGACAGATTAAACCTTTTCGTTCTTGTAGTGTGATAAAAACAGCACACCAGACACATAACTACTCATTATAAAATTCCTCGTGGTCAAATGTGACTTAGCAAAATCTGCATTTGTTATGTTTCCATTTTTAGTTAGCTTGCTTCCCACTTGCCTATTGTTTGGCTGCAGAGTGCACATTAGTCTGTCCTCAAGTTTTGCCCCATACATGATTTCTGATCGTAAATGAACAGATCTAAAATTCACACTTTCAAGTTGAGGCGGCTCCAATTGTCTTCCATGCAAGTCAGAGGGCAGAAAGATTAAACCAACACCAGGATAGTCTTAGGAACCACTGAATATGCTCTAATTAGCTCTTTGTCATGGAATGAAGCACTTTAAAAGCACTTTTATTAACCATACAGTAACAAAATTTAGAGTCACAAGATAAAAGTTGACATTTGATTGTTTTTTCAGCACACTATATGCACACAAAGATGTGCTGCTGCATTCACATTAATCAAAGAAAACCCTTAATTTCTTTATCTCTTGATAAACAGAGAATATTACTTCAAAGCAAGAACTGAGTCAGGGGGGCAACAGAAGCTTGGGACCGACAAATGCACTAGTTGTAAAACTTAACAAGGTGTGAATGCCCTCTGTGTGCCCTGACACTCCAGCATGCAAGGCTGGCCTGTGGAAGATCTTAAGGCTGGTGGTACACTGCAAAAAATGTGGATTCTCTCTTGAAGTTCCGTTTTCAGTCTGAATGAAGTAGGAAAACTGTCTGTCAGCTCATCCAATCAACAAGCTTTTGTTCTATGTACTGAGTTCTCTTACGCAGGTTTTGTTTATCCAAATGTGGGCTAAGTGGCTGTTAACTGATCAGAGGAAATGCTAAATGGATGTCAATTGATCACAGTTATCCATCAGTTTACACCTTGACCAGCACAATACACAAGTGGCCTAAAGTCCATTGTTGTCTTTCAGGGAGGAATTACCAGAAAAACTGTAGAGTTTCAGGTGATGGTTTTCCATGGTTAAACATTTCTTGTTTTTCTTCATATGCGATTTCATGAAATTAAAATTTTACTTTATTTCTACATACCAAAGCAGCATGACACAAAACCAAACATGACAAGGAGCAAGTGCCTTTGCCATTGAAGCCCCTAGGATTCTGATTGAGAGTCAGCTTTTTATTGTGAATTAGATTGATTGATTGATTTGTGAATTGGTCTCAGCTGTGGGCCTGGCCCGAGGCTCACAGGTTGCTATGATCATAGACGCACTGCAGGCTGAGGTAGCCAAAACGTCAAGAAAAAGAGTGATTTTTTGCCTCGGCCCTGGTCTTACATTTGGGTTTATTCAGAGGTAATTCGAATGCATCATTAGTGTCAATGAGGAGCAGAGAGAGACATTGCTGCACTGAGAGGCTCAGTGTTTAAATTCTGTATGTGTCTCAGCTTAGATAAACACATAGTTAGAGACAGAACAGGTGTGTCTACAACTGTGGAAAAAAACATCCATGTAGAGTGTAATTTGTGGCCGGGAGGAGCGTGGAAAGAGAGAAGTTTCAGACAATTTCATGCAACTTCTCTCACTCTAGCCGATGATGTCACCCACTCTGGCATGAACATTCCACGCAATACACACCCATTATAATCTCAACAATTCTCCCCAAATGATCGTGATCATTGAGCAGTGATTGATCGAAAACTACAATACCTATCGAAAAATGGATTATTACACCAACAGACAAAACCTGTGTCTATGCCTGAGAGTTTAGATGGAGTCTCTAGGTGAAAGTATGCAGAGCCTGCAGTTGTTTAAAAAACTTAAATGACTTGTCCCATTGACTTTAATGCAAAATTTTTTCGTCCTGAAAAGTTCACATACAATATATGAAACAGTCACACACCGATCCTGATCAAACCGCACGTTTTGATGTATGATTTGTTCAACAACTCTTCAGGCTGTAGGACTTGTAGTGAATTGAAATTTGTCTGGAAGTGGAATGAGAAAAAAATCACAGTAAAACAACAGTGCCTTGGTGCGTTTGCCCCGACTATGTATGATTTGACTGCTGGAAGTGCACTGCCAGGACTAAACAAACAGAAATACTCATGGGCAGTTAACTCTGTATAGATAGAGATAAAAATATAAAATCCTCTGTGGTACTTTGATTTTGATTAGCAACCATTTCTCCCAATTTGTCCAAGTAAATCTAAACTTTAAATGTTGATTTAGTAATTAATCATGATGCTTCATGTCACCGTGCTCTTGAACCGGTGGATAAAGGCTAAAATTACACTTCTTCTTCTCTGACTTCTTTTACAGTGTGCAAGCTCTTTGGGGGAGGAGCGAGTGTTTGGAGAGGAAACATCGGGTGGCTGCCTGGACCTCTGGGCCTGGACACTTCTGATTTATCTGTGCATTTCAGAATTATGTTGTCGACCTCTTCACCTCACTGCCATTTGTGTCATCCCCTAAGTTCTGTTCAGGCAATCACCCCTTCCCCCCGAACCCCCAGCAACCACAGAGGAGGCCTCCGCAAGCTGCAGTGTCATCTACAGTTCGGTACAGGGACAGATGTAATACAGTAATGTCATACTTATATAGACTAGTCCGTATTTAAGTTTTAGTCTGATGGAGGAGGGGTCTTTAATGCCCGGCTTTTCTTTCCTCAAAAGCTCATCAGAAATTAAACTGCTCGGTATTGTCTCCTTTTATTTACTTTAACTTGTAACTCTTACACCATCATAATCACAGCATATTATATATAATTTACAACAGTTTATTACTTAAATCTACATATTGTTTAGTGTTTAGTTTTGAAATTCAGCACAGGGCAGTTCCTTGCACTGCTTATGAGTCAATGCACAAAAGTAAATGTATGAGTTCTTCCTCACATTTAACCAATACTTTCACTTTACAGTTTTTGTTTGGCTTAATCAGTCCTAAAGTGATGTCAGGTTATATAAGCTTTGTGTAGCTGGTTACAGCAAAAACTTGATTCTGTATGGAGAGTTGGAAAACAGCCAATTTTACTTCCTACCCATACAGCCTATCAGACATTATAGTACAGCACCATCTAGTGGATATAAAGAGTGAGAGCCCCTCTGTCTGAGTTAACCGATGAGCCGTTCACACAACAAAACATGGGGAAGAAAATGAAGAGAATATTTTTCAATAAGTTAGATGAAGACTAGCAACAGTCACAGAAATATCTTGAAACAGGTAAATCACAATAATAGACTTTGACATGTTCAGAGAGCAATAAAAACGAACAAATTAATGTAATCCATTCAAATATTTGAGAAAGAAAGTCAAACTTTGAGTAAAGCTTTGCATAATGTTTTATGTTACAACATTTGTTCAATGACTGTTTCTAGCTCAATGATAAACATTTTCTGTGCCTGACTTTTATGTCCACTTTCATGTAACAAAATGAGAACAACAATAATTTTGTCCTTGTTTTATTAGCTACAAAATCCACTGTGACATCTTACCACATTTAGTGAGATAACTTACCCGATGGTGGGGCGACATGTCAGATGTTCACACTCTCTATTTGATTGCTTATAACTCCGCGCTGATACAAGATATGAAAATGACATGAATACGAAATATATACCTGAGACTTTGGTCTTTCATCTGGTACACATTTTGTTATATCATGTATTGATTCTAAGAAATATACAAGAGTGTAAAAAGTGTGACAACAAGCCCCGGTCTCCCCTATATCATCCAACCTCAATAAGATGCTCATCGGTTTCTTATGTGCTTTGTATTAAAACTGTCTGTTACTGCTTGATCACACTCACAGGTTTTAAAACTCTAGATCAATAGTTCCTTTAAAGAACTGTAACCTACTTACATTTTACTTGTGCTTGCAACTGGAGTGCGCGTGTGGGAGTGTGTGTGGGTGCGTGCGAGTCGTGAGGAAGCGGGATATGTTGCCTTGCAAATGATGCATTAGAAACAAAGAGCAAACCCACGGCCGTTGGCTGTTTTTGATGTACGCCCTTTTATCGCTGTGGGTTTATTTACTTGGTACAAAGTGCTCGCCCCACGCGCCTTTACGCAGAGCTTCATCCGTGCGCGCACAGAACCTCTACTATCTAGTCATGGGTGTCCGGTATGTCAAATTCATCCCCGCTGTAGGGCTGCTGATTCTGGCAATAGTTGGGATCCTGCTGGTTGTCCTACCTGCCACAGAGACCGAGATGCCTCCTGAATATATGGTGAGAAAAGCTTTTTGTATGTTTACAACATCTGACACATACGAAAAAAATATTCTTGATGTGATTTTATGACAAGTAGCGAAAGGATGCACCAGTGTTGAGACTTGTGATTTGAATCTGCAGTCACATATTTTCATGCATGCATACATTAGACCCTGTGGTTGTCACAGATGTTGAAGCTGGCGTTTCCTTTTGCTGTAGGTCTGTCAGGAAACAAAAAAATTCATGATTCGTGTAAGGTTGACTGTGTGTTTTAACTGTTTTTTGACTTGAGAAGGTGTGAGATCTCCTCCAATACCATTTTCAATTTCATTTTCAGCTATTTGCAAACTGTAGAATTACAAATATTTAAAAAGCATGTCTTCCTTGCACTCTCTTTGAGATGCATCAGAAAAATTTTCCAATTTCCATAATGGAAATTAGAAATAGGTTTAAAAATGAAGATCATGCTGTGTTGGGTAAGAAATCAATTAAGATAAAAATGTAAGATAAAAGAAATCAATTAAGATAAAAAAATTTCTATGTCATTATTTTTCAACAGCAAAAGTGTAACCGGTTTGCTGTGTGACAGATTGCAGATTAAAGTCACCTTCGCGCTTATTTTTTTTTTTTGTAGACCTAGTCAATCTGTTCTTTTGTTTCTATTGGTATCTATTTAAAATTGCTAATGCATATTTATGTATAATATATCCATGTACTTAAGTTCATTTAAAGTGTCATTGAGTTGCTATGGTAAAATGGGGCTCCATTTTTTTAAAGGCTCAATATTAGTAGTCTGCTTTCATGTAAACTTATAAAGTGGTAAGATAAGTTTTTATTATTTTATCTTATAAAGTGGTGTCAAAGTTAAATAAATGACACGTTTCCACTACTGTCAGAATAAAAATAGGTTTAATTTGTTTGTAGCCTGTGTCTCTCCTAAAATAGAAAATAATTCAGTGATCTTGCAGTTGTCAGTATAAAGGCTACAAACCTGGTCACAGTGGTTTCCTGGTTCAGTCTTCAGCTATGGCCTTCTGCTGCATGTTTTCCCCCTCTCTTTACGCTCTACATTTCCTGTCTATCTTCAGTTGTCCTATATAGTAAAGGTGAACATGCCCTTAAATATAACTTTTAAAAATATAGCTAACAACTCATCGACTGTTATCATAAATGACATGATCTGGCATAAAAATGTCACAATATGAGCCTCATATCATCCTGATACGAACTTCCTCGGACTTGAGTGTGTTGGCTTAATGCATCAAGTGAGACATGCAGCCCCAACCACACTGCCTGCTGTACCAACCACAGCTTTTATACAGAGGAAGTTATCAAACAGACAGACAAAATGCACTGTCAGTTTGCTTCCTATGAGATACTTCCTAAAAAATTAGGATGGCAAAAATTTTACTTGTTACATTACACCATCAGGGACTTTGTTTGCAGACTGTCTGCAGTAAGGCTGCTAGACTCCTCAACCTCTCCTCATCCTCTGTATCATATATTAAAAACAAAGTTAGAGGTCTTATCTTATGCATATTATACACAATACCATACCAGTACCATATATGTAAAATCCTGTATGTTTTTACATACCAAGGTTTGAAAGATTTACTGGTTTGAATTTAGTGTATTCAATTGAACAAAGGTAAAAAATGATGTGCAATTAACTGTATTCTGTTTTACACAATGTTCTAACTTAATTTGGAATTAGGTTTGTTATCCCCTTCTCTGTTTCAGTATGGAGTCGTTCTGGATGCAGGCTCATCCCACACCTCCATGTACATCTACAAATGGCCGGCAGACAAGCAAAATGACACTGGTATTGTTAGCCAGCACAGCGAGTGTCATGTAGAAGGTGAGTGTGACATTACACTGAGTGAACTTTAAAATGAGGAAACTCTCTTACATGGATTTATGTCGACCACAAAACTTTATTATTAACAGTATGGTAGCCAAATATGACCAGACTTACAGTAAGTACACATTTCCAAACATATTCAATATTTAATTTATGTTTCTATACATCTGAGTTATTACCCAACAATATCTCTTTCACAGCTTTTGAGAAGAAAACACCCAAACACAGTCACTGACTAATATAAAATAATCATATAAAGATAAAAGGTAGTTTATTTGCACTAACATTATAACACCAAAATAAATGTAATAACACTGACTTAGTACTGAGAGTGTGCTGGTTAGATGAGTGGTAGAAATCATTCTCATAAGCAGCGCTAAAAAAGTTTGATGATGCATTTTCGGTTCACACTTTAAGTGTTTGTGTGACATTCACTACATTTTCGCTCTTGCCCAACCTCACTACAACAATGACACATCATGAGCCAGATCAAAGGTGTAGTCTTCAGACTTTGCACCAGCTGCACTGCCCAGAACTACACCAGTGGTTTGATGTATCAAAAGTGTCAAAGTAGGCAGTTATACAGCTCAGTATCAGACTATAGCTTTTGTGGTCGAACAAAGTCTTGTTGTTTTAGCTACCTAAATGTGACATAAATCCTCTCTTAAATATGATTTTTTTTTTTTTGCTGAAAGCAGTCAGATGTCTAAAGTACTATCTTCTCAAGGTGTTAGAAGGTGAAAGAAGATCTAAGATATTATCTTTTAAACCTATTTCTCAAATGCTGGCTTGGAAACAGTCACAGATCTTCAAATATGATCTCATCCAACATAGACGCAGCTTGAGTAAATTCATGTTGTGGTGGTCAGCAAGAGGTGATCCTAGGACAAGGAGAACAGAGATTTATATCAGGTTCAAAAGTTTAACAGAAGTTAAAAAAGTCAGAGTTTCAAAGAATACTCTCCAGAGCCAGGAGCACAGTTAACACGTGGTGAAAACTGAACAATCAGGTGAAGACTGGAGTGAGGAGCCGGGTAAAATGCACAGCAGGTGATTGATCAGGTGTGCAGCAGGAAAGGCAACAGGAGTGGCAGCAGTTGTGTGATTACCGCAAACAGACAAACTACAGACTACACACACAAGGGATGGGAAAATTACATATACAGTGAAACACTGACCTTCATTACAAATCAAAATGGCACATTTTGTACTACCTCTTGAAGGATACAAGAATTAGAGCAATACCAAGAAATATCTGATGGACAAATTCAACAAAAGGGAAGTCAGAAAACTTTTTTTCATTTGTTTAGACCTGACTCACCCCACCACCCACCCACCCCCCATGTCCTGATAGTAAAGATAAAGATGTTCTCACTCTAACTTCCACAATGCCATCCTGTTGACCTTGACCCAATGGATTTACAGAACTGAGGCAGTTTCAAAATGTTACATCTTGTGCAAGACTTTTGTATCTTAGGGTCTACTTCCTCAGCAGACAGGGCATGCCTTCTTACTCATTGCCCATTATTCCTGTTGCTTCAGTTTGTTTTCAGAGTCTCCTTAGAAACATAAACTGGAGTTTCACCTCAGTTTAATCTTCAAAAAACAGAAGTGCAGATTTTCTAAAAGGTCAGGTCAAGTTCTTATCAAGAAGAATGACTTTCTCTTTCTGCCAAGGTGGAGGGATATCGAGCTATGCAGGTGTTCGAGGAGGTGCAGCCAAAAGTCTGGAGGCCTGTATGGATCGCGCTGTAAAAGAAATCCCCAAATTCAGACACCAGCAGACTCCTCTCTATCTGGGAGCTACTGCAGGAATGAGGCTCCTGAGGTCAGTGATTACTCCCATTAAGATAGGATATCTTACTCAAGACCACTAAACTCATCAAGAATGTATTAATGCATTAAGGTGGACTTCAGCCAGACTTAACGATCTCCATTCAACTCTGACCACTTTTTTCAAAGCATGGTAAACAGCTCAGAATCCAGCCGGATTCTGAAGGAAGTGGAAACCAAACTTAAGTCTTATCCTTTCAAAGTCAAAGAGGCAACCATCCTGAGTGGACAAGAAGAGGGGGCGTATGGCTGGGTCACGGTCAATTACTTAATGGAAAACTTTGTCAAGGTGAGATCTGACTCTTAACGTTTTCATTCACTTTTGACAGTAAACTATCTTTATATGACAATGTGAAATAAGATTTTTGGACATCCACAATTACAAAACAGTCAGGAGATTGTCTGAAATGTTGATAAAAACTGAATTTGATGCTTTAAAAATCATTCAAACCAATCATTTAAATGTTAAAGCTGAATTTTTTTTTGTTTTATGAAGAATATTTGCATATTCTATATTTGATGCCAGCAACATGTTCAAAAAAGTCAGTAGCCTGTAAGGTAAATTTGCCATTGTGTGGCAACCCTCATTAAATGCTTGACATTCTTTTCGGAAATCATGAGCTGCTTCTATAGCGAGCAATTAACAGTTTTGATGTTATTACTCCTCCAGTCTATAGGAGAGACCTTGAGGAAGATCATCAAAATATCATGTGTTTAGGTCAAAAGGCGTGGCCATGGCGCCTTTTTAAACTTTGATGGTTTTCCAGCGTAAATGAACACTGAAAGGTAGTCACAAGTACCAGCCATCAAAAAGGTTGCTGGTTTAAATCAAACAATTAAAGAAAGTTGTCCTTTATTGTATTATTATGCTAATAAATTATCTTCTACCTTTGCCCCCCTCAAAAAAAAAAAAAAAAAAAAAAAAAGCCAAAGCTGAATTAAAAACTTGAGAGCCCTGCTAATTCACATGCAAATTGTTGTCATTCATTTTGATTATACTGTATAATAATGGACTGAATACTTGGTGTTTGTTTGCCATTTGTTTTAGCCAAAGACTGATATTTTAGACACTGAATTTTCCTAAATTTAGCTCTACATAGATATTACAGTGACAGTGGCATTCTGTGATAAGATCCCCCTGATATCAATGACTGTGATCTCCCAGATAGCGTGCCTGTGATTGCAAAGGAGCTATGACAGTGGAGAAAGACGCAGATGTGGGCGTCTGTTGGGAATTTGAGTAGAGCAGCCAGGAACAGAGTGGTAATTCAGACAGACTGCAGCAGATTTGTTGTTGTGCTGTCAGTTTGGACCATGACGCCAATGCAAAAGTAGACATCGTGAATTTGATGTGAACATCAGTTGTTTGCCAGGTGACTAACCGATGGCCTCAGCTTACTCCTTTGTTTGTTTCTGCGTAGAAGTAAGTTGGACAATCTTTTCATGATTTATATTTTAATGTCTTTACTTGTCTTTCCAGTATGGTTTTGTGGGGCGTTGGTTGAATCCAGGCAGAAAAACAATCGGTGCTTTGGATTTGGGTGGAGCTTCCACTCAGATCACCTTTCAGACATCGGACATGGTGGAGGACGAAGCCAATGTGATGGAGCTGAAGCTTTACGGACAGACCTACACACTGTACACCCAGAGCTTCCTGTGCTATGGACAGGGCCAGTTCCTACAGAAACTTCTGGCTTATCTCATCAAGGTAATGTTCAATACTGCTTACAATAACAGATAAATATGGCTACTTAGACCAAAATTGTCTATTCTCTGTCAATAGACTCTACAACAAGCTGCCATAGATTCATAGGTCTAGTTTTATGTTTCAGGAAATAATCTGAGCTGCTTTCTTGTGGGCTTGGAGGGCTTGGCTCAAGAATCAATATCACTCTACTGAATTCACCTTGAATAACCTCATCATGTATAAGTTGATTATCATTCTGGCTTAAACTCCAATGAAGCAACTGGCAAAGTGCATATAAACATGTTTCCTTTTTTGAAACACAAAGAAAGTTAATTTTGCTGATATTAATAGGTGTTAAGAGTAGCAAAATTCTCAATATGAGTACATTTAAAGGGATGAATCAGTTTTCCAATGGGGTTGTATGAGGTACTCGTCAATCGTGATTGTGTTAGCCACAGAGTATACCACTCAGCTAAGCCCTTCTGTTGAGAAAGTATTCCTGACAGCAGCTCCTATCAACTCACCTTAACAAACAGGATGACACTTTAGAAGAAAGGATATCTCATATCTCTTAAAGCAATATTCCTGCATCTCTTCATGCATCTCTTCTAGACTCAAGGTGTGAAGTCCAAGGTGTCCCATCCCTGCTATCCTCAAGGCTTCAACACTACCATCACACTGGGAGCGGATGTCTTTGACTCTCCGTGTACTAAGGATTACAGACCAACCAATTTCAATCCCCTGATGGTTGTATCAGTGGTGGGCAAAGGAGATTACCAGAGCTGCCTGGACAACATTACAAAGATGTTCTCCTTCACTAACTGCTCCTTCTCCAAGTGCTCTTTTGATGGAGTCTTCCAGCCCAACCTGAGAGGAAGCTTCATGGTGAGACACACAGACGACAGTTCTGACTGATTAGTACCATTCCAATCCTCAATGGCCACTGCTTAAAGGAATATTCTGGAATATCCCTTTACGGCAATAGGCACTTTTGCCTTGTCAACATATTTTAATACATTCATTAAGAGTAGACAATCTAATAAATAAGTAGTAAGGTGAAATTTTTTTTGCAAAATTGTAATGGTAAATGTGCCAAACTTGAGGTATGGAGGTAGTCGAGATGATAACTGTTGCTATTCCCTTTTTAAGTTTGATTGATTTTAGCCCGAATAGAAAGGGGTTGTTGTTTGTGATTTGCAGGTTCTGGAAAAGGGTGTGTATCTCTTGACTGACTCAGAGTCTCCTCTCTACAGGCTTTCTCTGCCTTCTTCTTTTCTCACAGCTACATCAGCAACCTCACCAACATCTCCCTAGCATCACCTAATCAAATGAAGGAGGCAATCCGACTCGTCTGCAACATGAGCATCTCTGAGGTAGTCAGCCACACTGCTGTCTGAGCTCAGCCCTTTTTATATCAACAATTCTCAAACATTAAAAAAGACCCAGTCCCAATCTGCACCTTGAAGCCAAGTACTGAATGCTATCAGCTCAAATGGCTGGGGGGGATGCCTGGGAAGGCAGGACATGACATCAAACGCAAACAATTGTTTGCCCTTGTAGACTTCTACAAGGGCAGCTCTCTTGTATCCTCTCCTACCCCTCCTCCAATTTCCTTCATCTGTCCTTTGTCCTCCAAGAAGTGTTAAGAGCTTTGGACTGGCACTCAGCATGGTGAGAGAATAACCTTGGAAACCTGGGTTAGCACTTGTCCAAAATATGGCTCACAGGCAGCCCATACAGTAGTAAGTGTAGATTGGGATTGGGTCATAGTCAAGTGGTCATTCAGTGTAGGCCCAAATTGAATATTTTAAGTGCAGTTTAACTTTTACAAACTCTTTGATCCCTGTATTTTAAACTGCAGATGACTGGCATAACAAAACAGCCGAAGAAGTACATGAAGAACGTCTGTGCTGTCGCCAATTTTGTTCAGGTCCTCTTGACAAAGGGATATGGCTTTAATGAGCATTCATTTCCTACAATATCGTTTCAGAAAAAGGTCAGGAACATTTGAGATGGTTTCAACTTTTTTTTCATCATTTAATGGTCTTTCTCTCTGAAATCCCTGAAACCAGGATTTTAGTGCAAACAGTAAAGTTGTTTCACCCTGTCCCGTGTTTGTGTGTCTGCAGGCTGCAGGAGCGTCTGTTGGCTGGGCTCTGGGCTACATGCTGAGTCTGAGCAGTATGGTACCAGCAGAGAGACTTGGACTAATGAAGGCTGTGCCCTCAGGACCCTGGGCTGGCATACTCTTCCTCTTCATCACTCTCCTCTTCTTTGCACTGGGATACATGGTGTTGATCTACAGAAACACAAGAACTAAAGAAGGAATGGTGTAAGAGCAATAGCCTCTCAGATTACTAACATTTTCGTATCAAACTTTCAATCGGCAAAATAAAATTGCATGAACGTGTATCAAAATATTCAGCCAAGTATTAAAATGTCCTTCATAACTTTGATCTGTAAATCTTTAAACTTTCTCCTCTTTTCTAAGATTCTTGTCACTGTGAGAGATTAAATAAAGGGGAAAAAACATGCTCTTTTATAGATATCTAGACCTTTTCTGTTACAGCTTGACTGATCTCTCAGATAGCAAAGTGAATCTATCCTCATGATACCCTGGATAGATTACAAGACAATGCCAGGTGCCTTCAATAACTGTTGGTCATTATAGTTTAGATTTTGGCTCTCCTCCACATGCTAGGATTGTGACTAAAAAAATACTCTTTTATGCAAGATTTTGACCATTTGTGGATTTAGTATGGACAACGTCTCTTTTGATATCAGTATTATCGCCTCTTATCTTTGCTATGAGATAATACCTCTTAATTGTCTCTCTTTTTAACATTTTTTAATGTAAAATCTGTGTTTCTTTTGTCAAATGTTTGGGGTTTTTCTACAGATGATATTTGCAATCTTATTTTTTATGTTTTAATGTATCCCAAATAAAATGAATGAATTTAAAAACGTTGAGTCAATGTGCTGTAAAAATGTATTCTACTTTACGTCATTTCATGACAACATAAGCGGATTGCTTCATCACCTCAATGTGATAAAAACAGCTGCTATGTTTTTTTCAGACAACTAACAGTGCCTAGATTATGAAAGAGCTTAAAGTTTGATCGCTCTTTTTTTTCTAATAAGACTCCCACAGTCGTCACAGTTTGAGTGGCTATTTTCTCCTGTTTGTGTTGTTGCCATACAATAAATGGACCATTTTAAAAGTGCAGTGTGTTGTGCTTTTTAAGCATTAATCAGAACAAACTCATTTAAAAAATAGAGTGGTGCTGACATACTTATCATGCAACAAAGATACACCGTTGCCTCGCCAGCAGAAAGGGTAAAAAAAGAAGCATTTCACACTGAGATATTGCTATGTCTATCTTATATATATATTAGTATCTGGCTTAAATGAGGAGCAGTAAAAAGTATTCAACGAATGAAAAGGTCCAAAGATGGGGTTTATTATGCAATCAAAAATAATGGACACAAAAACAAAACAAAACAAAAAAAATAAGAAAATTTTTATCTAAAAAATACACAAAAATTTTGAAGAACAAATAAAATATAAGTGATAAAATTAAGTATTTATGAAAAAAAAAGTGATTAAATTGTATATTGATAAATTGACTAGGTTTGCTTACGAACCAAAGATATCATTCTCATGACTGATCTTTTTGGTTTTCCAGAAGTTTTGTTTGCATTTCATAAAATTTTGCTACATGAATCCCACGATGGGCGGGACCTCTTTTGAAAAATGCGAGAAGCCTCCTTACTGGTTAGCTATGTATGTATGTATGTATGTATTTATTTATTTACAGAGATGGACAGAGTACTTGACCCCAGTACTTGAGTAAGAGTACAAATACTCCTGGTCAAAATTTACTCCGCTACAAGTAAGAGTAACCTAGTCAATACGTCACTCAAGTTAGAGTAAAAATCTTTACCTTGGAAATGTATTCGAGTAAGAGTAATAAGTATCAAAGAATTCTAGTGTTTGAGTAAAGTACAAATCCTCAGAATTTGTACTTAAGTACAATACTCAAGTAAATTTACTCCATTACTGTCCACCATTGTTTATTTATTTATTGTCATTATTAAATTCTAAAGCCAAAAAACAAACACTAACTAACTAACTAACTAACTAACTAACTAACTAACTAACTAACTAACTAACTAACTAACTAACTATCAAAACATACAAACAAACAAACAAACAAACAAACAAACAAACAAAAACAGTAATTTAAAAAAGCCTCCTTACTGGCCGGTCTCACTCAGAGAGGCGGTGTGACAACTTCCGCCATGGCACCAACCGTTGCATGTTTCCTGCCGAAATGCTTCCCCTTAGTCCTCACGGAACCTTTTTTTTCGCGGGTGTATCAGACGAACTGTTTACAAAGACGGAATACCGGAAATTTGCGTTGACAAGGAAAAGAAAAATGTGTTGATGTGTTTCTCAGTACATGGCTCTCAGTTCAGCCACAGTTTGCATGCTACATTCTTCTCTGACAGTGAAACTATTAAGTTGATGATCAAACGGAACGGAAAATGTTTGCAGGGCTGCCGGAGCTCGGGATCTCAAATGGAGAGGATCTTAAAGAAACTCTCACAAACTGCACAGAGCCTCTAAAAGCTATTGATCAGTTTCAGGTAAGAATGCATGATTGTTTTATTTGTCTGTTCATCAATTTTGACATCGATTTCGTGCATTTAATTACAGAGTAATGCACACAGTAGTTCCCTCCAAATAAAGAAGTGTACTCACAAATCCCTAGGGATGCAGCGAAACTCTGATCATATATGCGGAAAACTAACATCTGTCTTTGTTTGATAACACTACTGATATATCTAAGACAATTATTTGTCTGCAACTCAAGTATATTTAACTGTCAACACTTCACAGTCGTGATCAGTTCACTTTAAAGGAAATATGTTGAGTGTATTGTAGTTTATGTGCATGAAAGAAAATTCCTTCATGGCGTCAGAGTATTGTATTTTTTCAGCTTGTATGAATTCAAAACAGCAGCCTAGATCTGTCTGAGTTAGCATCTGATTCTCTGGTGAGAGAAACATTATCCTGATCTGAATCTATGGAAACAAAACATGTCTTCAGTGTCTTTTTTAGACATTGTTTAATGTGTGTAAACGACTCATACAATTTCTGAAGATACAGAAAAGGGACCATTGAAGATCTGGGCTAAATTATTATAATAAGAACATAATATAACTATAAAAATAGAAAAAGGCGTCATTTTACTCCGTTTTCTGTCCACGCATCATTGGACAATCGTGATGGGCACAGCAGTTCTTTTAAATGGACTGAATCACTAGAATCAGTTCACCAAAAAGATTCGTTCAAAAGATTCGTTCACGAAATCACCGAATCATTTAGCGCTTGGTGGGAGAAGCCTGCGACTCTGACCTCCTGAATTGATACACAGCTGAACATTTCAGAATTCAGGTCAATTCAAAGCTTCGCTGGCGCTAACACACGCGTGTGTACACGTGGGACCTGGTGGGCGGGCCTGTCATTTTGGCAAATCAAAAAGCTACAATGGCTGACTTTCAGACCTTTGCTGAGGTAGATATGATCGGTGAATAAAATCGATTTCATATGTAAGGATCAGCCGATCACCCATTCCCCAAAATTGAGGAAACTGATGCCGATCAGTGCCGGCCGTTTTATCAGTGCATGTTTACTTTATTGTTTCCTTTTTTTTTTTTTTTTTTTTTTTTTACATAAACATTTTCTCTAATGTACTCTTTTATATAATCTACTTAAATGCATCAGTGGTCATAATTTAGTGATATAATTTAGAACAATTGTCTCAGCTAATATATGATTCTCTGCAGATGGAAAATGGCATCCTGTTGCCGACCCTCCAGTCTGCACTCCCATTCCTCGACCTCCACGGGACGCCTCGGCTGGAGTTTCATCAGTCTGTGTTTGATGAGCTCAGAGACAAGCTGATGGAGAGAGTGGCCACCATCGCAGAGGGAAAAGATGAAGACAGGTTTGTCATTATTTTTACTTTTCATGACATTACGAATTTTCCTGAGACATCACGAGTTTGGATGCTACTTACTGGCCTTTGTTTCTTCATTCTTCTTCAGATATGGCAAGCTTGAAGAGCTGCTGGAGAAAAGTTTTCCCCTTGTCAAAATGCCGTCCATCCAGCCAGTGGTGATGCAGGTGCTCAAGCATCTACCCAAGGTAAAGTTTAGTGAAGGCTTTTTTTGTCTTGTTGAGGAGTGAAAACACAGATATGTTACAACAGAGCCTGGGGTACGAATAGTTAATTTAATGTAGAGTATCCCAATAAGCATCAATTGTTTACCTAAAGGATTGGTGTGCATCAGCTTACCCCCTATGGAACACTGAATGAAGCCCAGACTGTGTGTTGATTTTTGTGGGGTTCTCCTATACAAAGTATTTGGTAATGCTTTTCAGTAGGGGTACATGAATGATCATGAACTCATATACTAATTTATGCACTAATCATTATGAATTCATGCATGAATTACCTGATGAACCGTCAGTAATTTATGTTCTTCCTTGAGCTGTGTCACCCCGCTGCAGTCCGTAATGTGTATTGCTATTGTGTGGTCGTTACTCAAGTTGGTATACCTAGAGAAGCAAGCGGTTGGCAACATTCGTCTCTAAACGGGGTGTCTAACTCAATGTTACATTGTATTTGACCCTAACTTAATTTCACGCCGGAATATCCCTTTAACAGTGCCGTATGACTGACTTCATGATGATGCATTACATCAATTACTGCATTAACTAAGGTGTGTGAGTCATCATGAGTTTTTAATGATGTTCCTAACATCCTAACGGGTCAAAAGAACAAGACTAAAACTATTCAGTCGACTAAATTTCCAACGCGGTCATCATGATGACATCAGCTGAACACCATAGAGACTTTATCATGTTTGTGGTCCCTTAAAACTTGTATATTGATAAGCATTCATGGTTTCACAGGTGTTAAAGCTACCTTTGTGCACCCTGTACTGTCAGGGATGCTGTCATTTGATCTGTGTGCTGATGACAAGCCAGATGGTCCCTTCCCCACGTTTATCCCAAATAGGCAGTCTTGGTGACCTGTCATGGAAAAGTGTTAGGAATAAAACTCTGGAAGTCATGCCAGATCTGTACCAGATTTACATGATACAGATCAGAAGATGTTTTTTATTTGCTTCCTTCTGCAGGTGCCGGAGAAGAAACTGAAGATGGTGATGGCTGACAAAGAGCTGTACAAAGTTTGTGCTGTGGAGGTAAAGAGGCAGATCTGGCAGGACAACCAAGCTCTGTTTGGGGATGAAGTCTCCCCCCTTCTGAAGCAGTACATTGTGGAAAAGGAAGCAGCTCTGTTTAGCAGTGACCTCTCTATCCTGCATAATTTCTTCAGTCCGTCTCCCAAAACACGGCGCCAAGGCGAGGTGAGTGACAGTCAGCACAGCAAATATAAATCAGAGGGTTTAGGGCTTGAATTCCTGTGAGAAGAGATGACTTTGAACTCTTTTGTGTTACTAGGTGGTTCTAAAGCTGACGCAGATGATTGGAAAGAATGTGAAGCTCTACGACATGGTTCTCCAGTTTTTACGAACCCTCTTCCTGAGAACGAGAAATGTGCACTATTGTACACTGAGGGCAGAACTGCTGATGTCTCTGCACGACCTGGACATCAGTGAGATTTGCTCTGTGGACCCCTGTCATAAGGTGAGAACACAAACAGTAATGAAGAATCCGAGCTTGTGTTTTTTACGTGTGTGTGTTAAATGTTATATATGTGTCCTGCAGTTCACTTGGTGTTTGGACGCCTGCATCCGTGAGAAGTTTGTGGATGGCAAGCGAGCCAGAGAGCTGCAAGGTTTCCTGGATGGAGTGAAGAAAGGACAGGAGCAAGTGCTCGGGTAACAAAAAGGGGGCGGCTTTAGTTCATGAAAAAAAGAGTATTTTTGTTATCTCAGCTGAGTGAAGTAAGTTAACCTTTGTGAAATTTCAGGGACCTCTCCATGATCCTGTGCGACCCATTTGCTTGCAACACCCTGGTCTTGAGCATCATGAGGAACCTGCAGGAGCTGCTGAGTCAGGACAGTTTACCCAGAGTAAGCACACAGGACCCATGATCATACTGTATATGTAGTCTTGACAATGACAGCTGGTGGCAGTAATGAGGCAAATAAGTTGGCATGTGAGGCAGCTGTGCTCTCTCTCTTTTGAGTTGTTGTAGTTTGATGCCAGTTAGATTTGCAGCCAAGCAAATCAACCACATGAAGCTCTAAGAAATATGAAACACATATCAAAATAAGATAAGCCAATATGTTTATTCAGCAAAAATGATGAGGGAGGGTTTTAAGATTAATGATGAACCTCAGTGCTCCATGATACACAGTGTCAAACTGAGAAGAGGCATACATGTATGACACGTGCATCAGGGCAGAGGGACTAAAGCATTTGTTTAACCTTATGAACAGCTGACACTGCATTTTTTTGCATTGGCTTTATAGTGTTGACATACAACGGTTAAAAAGAAGTGGAGAAATTCACAGGGGATATTAAAAGGGTACTCAAGCATAGAGCTGCGTCACCCAGGTGCAGTCCGTAATGGACTGGCCCGAGGTCTACCTCGGTCTAACTAGGGTGTCTAATCTGGTGTTACAGTGTGTTTGACCCTATATCCCCGGAGTATCCCTTTAAGAGACACGCAACAACAACAAAAAACAAAAACACGGATCTTGGTCCGGACTTCGGGTGTGAAAACACCCTTAGCTACAGTGCTATAAGACAGGCACAAATCCGCAAAGAGATAGCACTTATACCAATACCTTCAACACCCAGAGGAAGTCACGTTTTTTTTTCCTTAGCTGTGTTCTCATCATGCTAACAAAAAGAAGTGTTTGTTTTGTTTGTGAGTAGGACAGCCCAGACCTGATGCTGCTGCTGAGGATGCTCTCACTGGGTCAAGGCGCATGGGACATGATTGACAGCCAGGTTTTTAAAGAACCTCGCTTGGTAGGTACAATCAACACCTCTTGTATCAGTCTGTCAGTTCATAAGGGTTACAAAAGGTCAACAGTCAAGTGTCATTGGCCCTTCACTGCAGATGAGGATCAGTGAGTTAAACAGTGTTGAATGAAAATAAATGTACGTTTATATTTGTGTGTGGACTCTCAGGATCTGGAGGTTGTGACCCGCTTCCTGCCAGCCATGATGTCAGTGGTGGTCGATGATCACAACTTCACTGTAGATCAGAAGCTTCCCAGTGAGGAGAAAAGCTCTCTGTCATATCCCACCACCCTGCCAGACGCCTTCAATAGGTGAATACAATCCTCAAGAAACAGAGGCTGACATGAGGTCACATGACTGCATGGAAAATGTTTTTATGAAAGTTTTGTCACCAGCTTCTCAGAATTTCCTCAAAAAGCCCATGTAAGAGGCTAAGCCTGTCTCTCTTGACAGATACCTGCAGGAGAACAGGGTGGCCTGCGAGATGGGCCTCTACTACGTCCTCCACATTGCCAAATTGAGGAACAAGAATGCCTTACAGAGATTACTACCTGCTCTTGGTGGGTATCAACATCACAAATGGAGATGTATTCTCAAAATGAAGCATGCTGAGCTCTCAGAGCCACTATCACATGGTTTAAAAGCATTAACCTCTGAAATTTTACATATCTTGGCAGTAGTAGATATGTTTTAAAAGTTAAAGGTGAAGGCATTCATTTTAAAGATTTACCACAAGATTTGTGAAGCCAACATTTGTGTCTCTGCTGCTCCCTCAACAGTGGAGACCTACAATGACATGGCCTTTGGAGACATCTTCCTGCACCTGCTGACTGGACACCTCACGCTGCTCTCTGATGAGTTTGGATCAGAGGACTTCTGTTCAGTTGTCTTTGATGGCTTCCTTTTGACTTCTTACTCCAGGTGAGTTTCCTACAAGGGATCCTTAACGCATGGTAGAGTTTTGATTTAGCTCCAGGTTATTATGCATTATCAGGGGACCTAATCATTATCTATTAACATACAGTTTGACGACACTGCGCAGGATTTGCCTCTGAACCTGTCATTCAGACCCTGATGACAGGTTATTGTAGACTCTGTAAATAGAGATTAAAAAAGACCCAATATGAATGCCAACAGACCCGACAAAAATAAAAGCGGTATTCGTACAATTGGGAAGATTGTTCTTTATACATTGAGCTCAATGATTGTCACCATGTTTCCTGACAGTTTGTGTTTCTGTGTGAATGTTTCCCAGTAAAGAGAACGTCCACAGACACACTCTCCGCATGTTGCTGCATCTACATCACAAAGTGCTACCATCGTACATGGAAACCCTGCTGAAAACTCTGGAACCTCCAAAACAGGTTGGTTTCACTCCTGTGCTGCATTTAGACTTTTTAAGCCCTAGAAAGCAAAAACAAGCCAAGGGATAAAAGGAGTCTCTTGAATTTACTGATTTCATTTCCCAAATATGATATCAATACCCCGTATTACATACTCTGCTGGCTTCCAAACAGCAGTTTTTGAGTTTGTCGAAAAGTTTGGGGAAAAACTCACTTTCTGTTGTTGTCAGTTTCTTTCAAGTGGAACAGACTTTGTGAAAATGCCACACATAATTAAGACATTTCTGCCATCATATGACACAAGGAATTGAGAATTGTTAATAGCTAGAGTTTGTGGGTAGAATCTCATAAGCAGTCCTAGAATTAAAGTATTATTCCTAAGTGTAAGCATCTGGAGTCATTTTTATGTGTTGGACGTACTGACTGAGTGAGATTGTGTTTCTGACCACAGAGCAGCGATCCGGTGAAGGAGCTCTACACCCAGCTTACAGAGAAGCTAGAAGCTCAAAAGAAGAGTCCTCCCCCTCCAGAAGAAGCTCCATCCCTGGATCTAGGACTACACCCAGTGACCGTCCCCACTACAGCCTCCACCCCAACCACACCTCTCTGAGACTGAAACAGAAAGAAATAGAGTGGCTAGATTGTTAAAAAAAAACCAAAAAACCGACACCTCTCTTTCGAAAGGGGATTGAACTTTTCTGAGCGTTTGGTTGTATGAATCTTTCTTTCTAAAGGTTGATCTTTAGTTGTTCATCTATGAGGGGATCTTCCAGCTCTGACCACCTAGATCAGCAGCCAGCTAGTTTTCTTCGTTGCTGAGTAAACCTCTTCATTTCATAATATTTCTTTCTGAAAGTTACATTGAAGTTGTCAGTAGTTCCACAGACCTGTGATTAAATACCTATTTAGAAAAAGCAAAGAGGTCTTGTTGTGTTTCAGAAAAACTGAATTTGGTTGCTGCATCAACTCTGTACAGTTTCTGTCACCTAACTTTCATGAAAAAGTGTTGTTGTAGCAATTTGAGTTTATAATAAATGTTTTAAGATCGACATTTGATAATAATCTTAAAATATGGCATTTATGCACTTGTTGATAGGGGCACCACCAACCATTAACAGTGGGAAAATAAGAGTGCAAAAGTTTAATTCAGAAATTAAACATTACATCAATATAAAATCAGTTTTATATCTCAAGTCAGAATCCTCATTTCAGACAAGAACTTTCAGTCTTCTACAACAGACAATTTTAATTATAGCTCCGGTTGGCTTATTTATATTGGCTTTAACTCACCTCTCTCTCATAGCTCTGATACACCGCTTTCCACCTAACACATCAACCTGCAACAGGTGTGCGGGACAACCTGCTGATGAACTAAATAGCAATATCACTCTTTTGTTACAAGTATTATCGCACAGAAATACATTGAAGAGGAATATGAAAAACATATATAACAACTTGGGATTGTCTCAAGTTTAAAGAGACACACTCATGTAAAGTGATTCCCACACACATAGGCTATATTTTCCTATGTTGTTTCACTTATTGGGTGTTACAACATAAACAGTGATCTGCTATTAAACGCACAAAACATGGGGACTGGTGGTGGAGGTGATAAAATGTGTCACATATCCTGGTTTTAGATATCTACCCATGATCTCTCTCTCACACACAAACACTCGAAGTGCATCGCTCTGTGCAGATTGAGCGCTGAGAAAGGTAAAGGTGGGAGGGTTGGGGTGGATCAAACCATTTTCTAGCAAAGGGGTTGCTGCTGTATTTTTGTTGTTCAAGTGGTATGTTTAAATCAAATAACTACTCAATATGGTTTAAGAAAAAATCGGTTTACACATGGATATATTGTTAAAAATGCTCTTAAATCTTGGGGTGCTTTGGTTCAATTTGGGGGCGCTTGAACACCCTTTAGAAAAGGCTAGAAACGCCTATGGTTGGTTAGCTAAATGAAGTGGAGAAGATATAATAGCTAAAAGCTAAACATACAAAGACAATAAGAGATATGAAGGGGGGGAATTTAGTAGTTGAGAACCACAAAGAGGTCTAAGCTTGTAAAAAAATTTATATATATTTTTTGTTTTACCTTCATTTTTCTCTCGGCGGAGACGTCTTACGTCACACGAGGGGCGGGGTCGCAGAGTCGTTAACGTGCTTGTTGTTAAGCCGTGCGCACAGGTAAACTGTACTTCAGTCCCTCCGTGTGGATAAGAAGGAAACATGGGGAAACTTCAGGAGTTTGAGATCTCGTTTGATAAAGACAAAGTGGTGTACAGTCCGGGAGAGTCTATATCCGGGACCGTGAAGATTAAACTGGCCCAGGCGCTGCAATGCAAAGGTAAGACATATACTTTGGTGTTCCGCCAATGTGAACCCACCTGGTGGGAAAACGTCGCCTAACAAGGAAGTAACCTAATCCCAAAATATGTTTTAAGTTTAAATCAACTGGAACCTCTTCCATTATGATTTATATTTTGACCTATTTCAAATGTGCTTACGTGTTTGAATTGGTGGTTACAGGGTAGACTCTTTGGGAGTTTACAAGAGGTCACCTCTCACTGCTTCATATTCCCACAGGTGCAATCTGCGTCTCAGAGAGAGATTACATCTGTGAAAACCAAAACACTAAGAAACCAGGCTGATTTTAAATCTAAGGTTTAATTTTGTATCTACGGAAAAAATCTCATCCAATGGAAAAAAAAAATGAGTATCAAGGAATTTGTCTGGAAACATCATGTCTTAAAACTACAATTTATTTGTTTAATATCGGTATTTGTTTAGGTAATTATACATAGAAGAAAGATTGATTGATTGATTGATTTTAGCTTCTTTGTGTGTTTTACTGACCTAAGTAGGCCCAAAACACTATTTGTTTTGTGTTCAAGCTGCTCCAACCTGATGCTGCTGAGATATTACTAAAGTTAAATGATTTAGAATATAATTTAGTTATCTGCATACAATTGTCAGAGGTTAAATTCTGGCCAATATAGGCTAGTAAGACTCATTATTAAATATGACATGGGCTTAAAATTTCAAAATAAAGTATTCTTAGTGTAAGAAATTATGCACCATCCTGTAAAATAACCATTTATACAAGATGTTTGACCCTGAAAAACTAAGATTTATTCGTACAAGAACAAATTTCACAATCCCAATTTGGATACTAATGTTGAGAGAGCTTGCTTTCCTGTTATGTAAGCATGAGTCTTTCATACACAGACATGTTGAATTAGGTATACAGTACGTCTTTGTCAGGTTGATCCCTCCGTACATCTGTGATCAGTTCATAGTGATCTAATGTCTCCAGTCATTTGTTTTTTGTTGTCCTTTGTATTGTGTTGCTCTTTGTTAAGTGGTCTGGGAGTTGAAGTTGAAGCATGGCACATGTCGGAGATAATGGATCAGATAGCAAACAGGTGTTGACTGGCAACAGCTCTTACTGGGACAAAAGGACAAAAGGTTTATGTGTCAACTCATCCTTAAAAGCTGGAAATGCACTATTGAGTTGCTCGCTTTTTTATCATTTAGCTATAAACCCCCAGAGGACACTGTAAACATCTTTGTGTTTACATCAAACATCATGATTTCTCTTACCAATTGTTCAAAAACAAACAAAAAATATTTGACCTTAGGGTAAGACCAGGAAAACAGCAAAGTTTTCCCTTTTGATTGCTCTCACAAACTGAAAATAAAAGAAGTCGTACTGTGAAAAGGTGTCTTGGAACAGGAAAAGTGACAGTTCAACACTTTCAGGAGCATAAAATCCAAATGATCTTTTGACATTCAAGATAGCTCAAACTTAAACAAATACAAGAGTAGCAATTTAAATAAAAAAACAGTCTGCAAGAACCCAAATGTGCAGCTGTAGATTTATATAATCTGTTACTGTGCTGCAGCCTAAATTCCCATTTCTCCTTGAGCTCACTTTCAGGTGCTCTCCCTCTTTTTCTGTGTGTGTGCCCACTTGCTGAGAGCATCTTTCATGTGTTCATAAGTTTCTGTTTGAACTCTTGCGGAGCCTCTAGTCTGTTTGCATTCCTCTTCAGGTAGAACCGGTCTGACTGTCAGCTTCTTAGCCAGGCCACCACCTCCCAGGAAACAGACTCTCTCAACAGGCGACAGTTTCAGCCACTGATGCATTGAGAGATATAAGAGACAAATCTATGACTGAGCAATCAGACATTGCTCCGTCCAGTAGAGATGTGCAGTATGTAGTAGCCTATATTAATTAAGATAATATTGTTTTTGTTTTAATATATTTTGAGGTTTTTTTTATGTTAACAGAGTCGGTTGAAAATCTTATTGATGCATTTTCATAATATCTAAAAGACCATCAGTGACAAGACTGGCTATATCATAATTTTTGAAAGCCCCAAACAGCTGAGGTAACTCTGTTCTTACAATTTCCACATTAAATATGCACAACAAATGATAAAATCCTCTGTCATTAGTCAGCAGAATGAAAATGTTCCACAAAAATTACAAGTGAAGCATGTAAGGACATGTGAGTAAAGCAAAGACTACTTGTCCCTATAGCGGCATGTCTGATCATAGACTGAATATAACGTTTATCATTGTTTTGGTGGTGTCACTCATTGGAGAGATGTCTGAGTATCTCAACAATGTGAGGTGCCATGTTTAAAATACTGACTCAATCTAACTTTATGACAAGGTAAAAGCAGACAATGAGAGGGAGGCAGAGTAAAAGCCTCTTTACAAAAGGGTTGTTGACTCAGCCTTTAATTATGCAGCTTTATGTTTAATACTTTTACTTTCTATTTTCCTAACAGATGCATGAAAAAAATAAATAAAAATCTTGTACACTATATATGGATTAAAAGAAAATTTTGCATTAAAGTCAATGAAACAAGCCAAAAAAAGAGAAATTATTACAGTTTTTCAAACATCTACCGACATATATCGACATACTTTCACCAAGAGACTCTATTTAAACTTTAAAATGTAGACACAATGTCTTTTGGTGTATTAATCCACATTTTAATGGGTATTGTAGTTTTTGATCAATCACTGTTCAATGACCATGATCATTTTTTGAGAAATTTTAAGATTATAATGTGTGTGTATTGCATAGTAGAATCTTCATGCCAGAAAGAGTGACATTATTGGCTATATAGTTTGAGAAGTTACATGAAATTGTCTGAAACTTTCCTCTTTCTACGCTCCTCCCGTCCAGAAATTATACTCCACACACATGTTTTTTACATACTTGTTCTGTCTCTGAGCATAAAGACTTACAAAATTTAAACACTGAGCCTCTAAGAGCGGCAATGTCTCTCTCTGCTCCTCTTTGACGTTAATACAAAAAGTTTCTGAGATAGTTTCTGAGACTCTTGTTTTTAACTTGCAACTGTGTCCAAACTATTTATTGTAGAAACACCAAAACCATATCAAAGCGTTCAGGAAGTCCTTACGATGACCACAATCTGCTTCTTTTTCTGATATGAGCCACCTTTTTGTCAGAATAAGTCCAAATGTGAGACCAGCGCCGAGGCAAAAAATCACTCTTTTTCTCAATGTTCTGACTGCCTCAGCCTGTGGTACTTCTATCGTCATGGGCAACCAGCTCAAGTTGCTGTGGCAACCTGTGAGCTTCAGGCCAGGCCCACAGCTGAGTCCAATTTACTAATCAGGGATTGCTGTAATATCTCTGCATCATTGAATCATTTGTAGAGTAATTTGAATAAAGATAAAATGCTGACTCAATCAAAATCCTTATTAGGGCCAAAGGGATTTTTTTTTGTACCTGGGTTTTATTTATGATTCTACCAAAAAAAAAAAATGCTTGTGATATTTTGTTTAATGTCGCAGCTGTTGAATGTACCAACCCCCTGTCTGTGTGTCTCATCCACAGCTATCAAAGTGAACTGCAATGGTTTCTGTGGCATCACCAGCAAAGTGAACGACACAGCCTGGACGATGGAGGAGCAGTACTTCAACAGCTCAGTCTCTGTTGCAGACAAAGGTATGCACACTGCTGAACAACGGATATGCTAAACTGAGCCAAACACCATGATAGCTTACCAATCTTGAACTGATCACGTTTAACCATATTTCAAACCCCTTATCAGATAAGTCATCGTGTTTTTACTTCTTTACTAGAGGAACTGTTTTTATGCATAAGCCCCGTGCTCAAGAACTGAAACAAGCTATTTTTTTTTCCTTTTAAATTGTCAAAAGTTAAAGCAAAAGCTATGAGGAAGTGTAAAGATTGTGGAGGTAAAAGGTCCCATTTTCCATTGTGGATTGTGCCTGTAGCCCTGAGGCAGATCAGCCTGGTGGGAAACAGCAGAGTGATTGTTCCTGTTTCCACTGACAGATGTTATCTCTGCGCTTTGTTTCTTTTACAGGAACCCTGAAACTAGGAGAACACACTTTCCCTTTCAAGTTTCTCATACCAGGTAGGAGCATATAGTGATGAGACTCCTGTTGCTCTCATTCATTCCTCTGTTTGTGTGTGTTTTCTCCAGCCATCTCCAAGCCTAACAGACAAGTTCTTGCATGTTGATATTTACCCTCATCTGCTCACAGTTCAGTGCTCGGGATCGGACTCCTATCCCATCATTCACTAGGGCTTAGGAGTACTGTCTAAAACACTGCACTGATTTCCAGTATTTGTTTGAACCTGTCCAACATTTCGAGCTCCCATGAAAATAAATATCTTGCTTTGGCTGTATCTGACCAATGTCTGAAATGTCATTCTATAGCTACACTTTTTTATGCACTAACATTCTGGAGCTTCGAGTTTTGGATGCATGTTATGCATCTTCTGTTAGCGTTGTATGCTACACACCGAATACGCTCCAACAAAGTAACATCACATCAGCTGCTATTGTTACAATAGTGACTCTGGTAAAAACTTTTAAAGGTGGGGTAGGCAGGATCTGAGGAAGTGCCAGTTTTTAGGAGAAATCTTGAATGTAAACTCTACCCCTCCCAACCAGTTTTCCCCTCAGCTCCTCCTCTTCCCTCCCTCTCTGCTCCAGCAAGCCCCCACCCTCGTTCTAATTAAATTAAGATACAATGCAGATAAATACTTCAGATGATTACAAATGGGGCCCAGTCAACGTGAAAGTAAAAAAGTACTGTAGATGCCAACAGACTACCAGAAAGCACAATGTTTGCAGGACTTATAAACTAGCATGAAATGACATACTCCAGGACCTGAGATAAATTGTCTGTCTCACAACCAATCAGCACGAGGATCCGCCTCGCAACCAACCAGGTTGGGGGAGGCAGAGAACGGCTTTGTTTACAGTCAGAAAGAGCGGAGAGCTCAAAAATTTTAAAATGTTGACTACACAGGCATAAGTGAACACAGCGATATCGTGATAATCCCAAATGTCATTTATAACTCATAGCTATTGACTGATATTAAAAGCTTTTTTTGTATTTACACCACAAAAAAAGATGCTTCTTTAACGGAATCCTGCCTACCCCACCTTTTGAGTGAATATACTATTAAATTCATTTTCACATTTTTTCATGATAACTGTAAAATTCAGCTTATTATGTTGAGATTGGCTTGCAGAAAAAAAATCAATGAATAAAGGCATGCTACAGTAACATACTCCTACTAAAAAGAATAAAAAAGCCATATTCAAGCTTGCTTTTGGGCAACCAAAGCTAGACAATATCCCGATATCTTGGTTAGAGGGTTTACAAGCCATTTATTTTTTCTCTCTTGCTTCATCTGAGTATGATCTGCCTGCCTCCTGCTAAATCCTTTGCAAGTTTTGCAATAAGCAATGATTCCGGGCTGAAGACATTCACTAACATTAATTTACAGTAAATAAGAGGTATGGGTGATGATGCTGTTAATGTCATGTGACAAAGATTTGTGCTGTTCTGCATTCCCATTGGCAAACTATGAATGATTCAAAGTTGTTTACAAACTTTGAATAGGTGAAATGGTGCTTTTACAACGAAAGATACTCTCATAAAGCCTGTAGAACAATAAAAATGGGGTTTCAGCTTCTCACCCCGACTATGATTTTGATGGCATTTGAATAGAACAATAGAATAGTGCAACGCTCATGTCACTGGTTCACCTCAATATTTCCATCTGTCACCTACTTTCCTGTCACCTGATTTCCAGAGTGATGTCAATCTAGACTTAGTCATAACAGTACAATCTAAAGGCACTCCCCAATGACGTACCAGGAAACTTTAGTTGGGCAGTAAAACAGCAAGAATGCAGTTTGAAAACCTGAATGTTTTTCTTTGATGCTGAAGAATTTAATGGGGAAGTATATTCTCAATACTTTAAATTAAAGTCAATTTTGACCTTTTGAAACAGACAGATTACAAGTAAATGTTTTTATCTGCATGAGTTAACCCCTTGTGATGAATCAATAAACTTCTTCAATTTGGTTCCAGTTTTAGCACAGTCGTGATAATGGAGAAGTGTACACCTTGTCCTTTTTACCCCATGTACACTGTTTTTATGGCTAACTGTGATGTGCTGTAATGTACAATAGCACACAGTCAGCTCTCATGATTATTAGAGCTCTACGTCTCTAGGTAAAGCCTTGTTGTTTGTAGTCTCACAAGGGGAACAACACTGAAACTCAAAAGTAACTAAACCAGTCTGTTCAGTCTTGAAAATTTAGAGACAGTCTGTATGTTCATACTACGAGAGTGAGAGCAGGTGTTTCAGCAAACAGTCTGTAGTTTTATCTGTAAAAATAAAATCAGATAAATTATTATCTACCTGTCAAATTTTAAGGAGTTTCTACATAGAAGAGGGTTTAATGACTGAGTTGCTGTCGGCCATTGTGCCCTCAGAACTTGATTTTCAAGATGACATAACAGCCAAGATGTCTGCCAAAAGTTTCATTGCATAATCAAACTCCTGTTAAAATTTGATTTGTCTGTAATTCCCACCCTGTGATCAAACTAATACGGATCTTATTTTTTTTTTCCACAGAGACTGCCCCAACATCTTTTGAAGGAAACTACGGTCGGATCATTTACAGAGTGAGGGCATTTATCGACACACCACGATTTTCAAAGGACTACAATGCAGAGAAACCTTTCTACATGCTACGACTATTAAACCTAAATGAAGTGCCAGACATATGGGTGAGAACACAATTATTTTTTATATTAAAATGAATGTAAAACTATAGTATAGTTGTTTTTTCATATATATATATGAGAGGGATGTTCTGATAAAATAAAAAAAAACAGCTCATGTAGTTTGGGGTTGGGGGTTATAGGTAAATACTTGTACCATAAGTGCTTTATTGACACCCATTCTAACTCAATTCAAACCTTACAAAATCAAAATGTATTTTACACAAGTGAAACAAGAACCTGATTTAGTCAATGTTTTTATTAACATTAGTCTCTAACAGTCTTTTTTTAAGTACTTAAAAAAAACTTGTTCTTGAAAAAGGGAAGGTTTTCTAAATGACTCCAGTACTCTAAATTCTTAGGATTTTTAAAGGTTTAGGAGGAGGTGCTACTTCTTGGATTGTACATTGGATTGTGGATTGCTTTTTTAAACTCTGAGTTGCAAATTTTGTGTCAAATCCTTTTTAGGAGTTTGTAGTGACCTAGTTGGACAATAGGTTGGATACACATCTATTTTGGTTGACAAGTCATCATGGTAGTGACGATCACAAGGTGGCTGTGCCCAAATCATTAAGTGTTGAATTGGCTGTTGTCCTCTAAATGGGACCATTAGAAGACTTTAAACTAGAGATTGAGGTCATAAACTCATTACAACACAATGTTCACTGATGAGTGAAACAAACAAAGAAGCAGGATAATTCTTTGAAGGAGAAGAAGAGACTACTGCTGATGGTCAGAAGAAATGCAAGCTTTGGTTTTGGCTTCTGTTAAATCTAATTGACTATATCCATTTAGTGTATGTCTAAGAAACAGGCAATGGTCAAGGTTAACAGGTCCTGTAACAAGATATTCTCATACAAACAAAGTGCATGGCTAGATCACAGTTAATTAATCAAATTTTTGGAAAATAATATGATACAAAAAGACTTGGATTAGGGTCAATTTGATTAGATTCAGTGTGTCAAACCTCATCTAATAGTCTAATTTGTGTCCATCACATCTTCCTTTATTTTGCTTTGTGAAACTGTTCTAAAATTCATTATAACAAGGTAATACAGTCCATCCCAGTGTCTTAATTTGGGAATGAAATGAATACATTGAAATGTGCTTGTGATCCTTACTTAAAGATTGTTTTTATACTAACTGTTGCTGCTGTGCCGCTCCAATGTGGCCTAAAATCATGACTTAGAGGAAGGAAACGGCTACAAGTGTTTATTCTGTCAAGTACAGGATTATTTTTATTTTCTTATAGGATAACACTTTTACTTTTACATGTCTGATTTGTTTCAATATGCTTTTTCACAGTTTTTCAGAGCTACTTTTGATCACTCACTGATATCCAGTGATCCCTGGTTTATGCTACAACATTTGCACCTTTCAAGAGTACCAGTTTGGTTGCTTTCTAAGTTTCATGCAGGTTCTGTATGTGTAAAACTGTTTTTTGCCCCTCAAGAATAAGGGATATGACTGGACTGGTCACAACATGCCAGCCTCAGTATGTCCCAGTTTTTGTACAGTGTTGACTCGTCTGCAGTCGGTTACCACCCATTTAACAAGCACTGTTACTTTCTTTCATGTAGTTCTAACCACAAGTCTGTGGCGATTCACACTATCTGCAGTTGCTCATTGACATCACTCTAATAGCTGCAGCCGTATGCTTTCATACTGTTTATTTTAGTGATATTCTAATACTTACAAAAAGCGCATATTACTTTTGACTTGTTGGCTGGGCCGTCCTGGAGTTTTCAGAGTAAAATCTGCAGTTCAACAGCACAGTGACGTTGTATTTCATCACCGCAGCTGCAAGAGTAGAGAGACACGGTCATGACTTAACTATGGTGTGCCTGAGAGACTTAAAATAACACACAATTAAATATTTATGCGTTGATTTTGACACTATCAGTTTTATTGCCACTGTTCTGACAGTCCTAATTGATACAATAATAAACAATATATTCATAAGCTACTTGCTACGTAAGCAGAATTTCAGTGTCATTTTTTGGAAGGTGTTTTTACCTTTTATGATAGGACAGTGGAGAGAGACAGGAAATGTGGGAGAGAGAGGGGATGACATGCAGCAGATGGTTGGGGCTGGGACTCAAAACTGCAATCACTAATTGGGGAGTCACCGCAAACTTTTCAAACATGATTTCACCTTTCTGCTCATAGAAGATTCTGAGAGGGTCAGTCAATGTTAAATAAATTATTTCATTGAGGTGACTAAAGCCAACAGACTCATAGCTGAAGTCCAAGTCATGTAGCTTTCTGGGGAAAAAAGTCCCAGCACTTAAGTCCATATCTTAACTTATCCATCTTCAATCACAGTGAAGAGTATGCAAATGTAAATCAGTGCCATTCTTTACTAACCCTACACCTCCTTCCTATAGGGGACCTGTTCATCTGCAGTGACCCAGCAGTTCACCTACATGCTGGTAAAAACAGGCACAATGGTTCTAAAGGCTCAGACAGACATGAGAGGTTACACACCTAGCCAGATCATCCAACTGACAGCATCCATCCACAACCAGTCAGGGAAGAACACAGGCAACATGGCTGCCAGCCTGATGCAGGTAAATAGCTTTTTGTACAGCTTTTTAACAACACCTGAGGGCAAGGTGTGACTGACAAACCACTTTGTTTGGGTGTAAATACTGATGCTTAAGTCTAACATCAAATGGTTCTGAGTGTTTTTAATTACACCTTTCAACCAAGTGGAAACCTGTACCAGAAGAGGACCATAATTTACAAAAACTGCAGTTCCTCATGTGCCCACTTGAGGCTGCCTCTAAATGTACAGAAGCCACATACACACCCATTCTAAAGAGTTGAAAACATGTCTACAGTGTTCTTTACTAGCTATGCTTCCAACATGATAGGATAAGAAGAACTTTATTAATCCCTAAGGGGAAATTCGATAAGGTTAGTAAGGTTAGTAGGTGTTAAAAACAAATAGTTTTACTCTGCACTGTTTAATTTTCAATTTTGATGAATCAAGGTATGGTGCCAGTCAAGATAAAAGCTGCACCCATCACATTTTTTTACAATTTCAATGGAATAATTGATGGTTTAGTTCCTCCAAAGAGGATCAACAAAGGCCGCAAAATACTTACCCTTGATTTACATCCACCTGTGTTTTTCAGAGGGTGACGTATGAAATGAAGAAGCCTGTCTATGATCTGAGGACAATAGCGGAGGTGGAGGGTGGCATCGTGAAAGCTGGTAAGGAGGTGGAGTGGAAAGAACAGATCATCATTCCTCCTCTTCCTCAGTCCTCCCTCGTTGGCTGTGATCTCATAAAGATTGAATATTATGTCAAGGTAAGACATTAATAAATATGACAGTATGAAGTCAGGACCACCTAGGCCTGAAAGAAAACTTATTGATAGTTGACGCACTTTGTTGCTCTTACTGATCTTGTATCCTCTTGTCTAGATCTTTGCTTGTGTTGTTCTTGTTCTCGTATATGTTGCTTTGGATGAAAGCGTCTGCTAAATGACACTGTATCATTGTAAAAAGCGTGTTTTGCCAGAAGTAAATTCCCCCATGAAATGTGATCTCTTACTCTATCCTCTCCTCTCATAAATCAGGTCAGTCTTAAGTCTCCGGACGTCATGTTGACTTTACCCATCCAGATTGGGAACGTCTCCCTGGACAAAAAATTACGCCCCTCCAAAAAAGCTGCTGCTGCCGCCGCCGCTGCTGCTGCTTCTTCTGCTGCAGCTGAAGCTGAACCAGTCCCCGATGCTACCTCTGATACCGCCACCTCCATCTCCGTCTCTGACACCACTCCCTCACTACCCCCTCGCCCTGCCCCTAAACCTGCTCCCCGTCCCACTCCTCGTCCCAGGAATTCCTCCCATAACTCCCCCAGTGCTCCTCCAGCTGATTACCAGCAGGGGGCCGAAGGCGGGGTTCATATGAACGACGGCTACCCCAACAAACGCCAGTCTCAGCTTGTGTCACCCAACGCTTTCAGCTATGCCCCCGGCCTCTTCTTCAACCAGAACCAGCAGCAGAATGGGCCCAGTGCAGTATCTAGTGGGACCACAGAGGCCTCAGCACCTTACCCAACTGCTGGGGCCACCGCCATGCCAACACCACACATCCTGCCTCCAGAATACAGCAGCTCATCTTACCCACAAGGTCAGTTTGCACACACTCGCCACATATATGAAGGCTGTGCTGCTTGAAGTGCAGGGGTTCAATCTGCGACTCTTCCCACTTCACACCAGCCAGAACACTCAATAAATGCTGAATAAATAACAAAAAAAGTTAAGTGACTATTTTTGTGTGTCTTGTGTGCTACAGAGGCCCCTCCTACTTATCACGAGAGCTGCAATACATGACAAGGAAGAAGAACCAGAGAATCTCCTCCTACTGTGAGCTCTGACTGTGGTTCATGCACCATGTTTGCTCCAAATTTACCAAAATAGGAGTCCTGACATTTTAGAAAGTTTTTACCAAGTTGACGAAAATGGCTGCTGGAAACGTAGGAGACCTAATGTAACATAGCTTGTTCATGTTCCTTTTTGACCCCAGATTCTGTGTAAATTTCCAGCCTTTTTTATGTTAAAGATTTAGGATTTGAGAGTAAACTGACTCTTAACTCTGCTATCCAGTTAATAAGGACCCTCACTTATCAAACTGGAGTTATTCTCTGTCTTTATCATCTTATTTTTATGTGTAGCACTTTGGTTAAAAAGAGAGATGAGGACATATACCCTCATTTTATTTGCTATTCTTTGAATAGGAGTCTTGTTTTTAGAGGAGTGATTTAGAAATACCGTCAATGGCGTCTGTGATGTCACTTTTTATATATAAAAATTGGTGCAGAAACAAAGCTTCCAATCTAGTCTGATATTTACTTTGTGTTTCAAAACTCATAGACAAATAACCTAATGCTTTTTTAGAGTTAACAGGTGGAATAATCCGTATTCATTTGATTTAAACAACTGTTTTCACCATTTCAGACTGAATGGGTGTTTTTTTCAATGACCTTGATCAGGATTTTTTTTTCAGTTTTACACTCCAGACTTGAGTTGTCTTCATAGAGTTTCATAATGAATAAATACTTGATCAGGTGTGGCTGATTGAATGTATTTCAACATAGACGGCACACCTCCTTTCTTTGTCATAAAAAAAATGTGAAGCCAGAATACTGCCATGTTGAAGTGGTGATGTATTTTGTAGCCAAGGCATGTGAAGAAGAAATCTGGCTGGGTGAGCTTCAACATTAACATCACAACCCTTCTGCTAACCAAAAAAAGGCATTAAACTTACCAATAAAACAATGAAGATTCCTCAGGCGGGTAAAATCCACCGCAGAGAAGATTCTTGTATTATTGAAGGCATAAACTTACAGGAGTAGAAAATTCAGCGACTCTTGATTGTTATTTTTTCCTCCTCTACTTATGTAATTCAGTGTGAAACCATTCAGGAGCCTCATTTGTCAACAAAGCTGTCAATCATGACATCACACACCCCCTTTTGGACATCGAATATCTCAAGTACTGAACACCTGGAAACAAACAAACAAACAAAACAAAAAGATCTACCTTTGTGGTGTGAATTTGGAATTTTAAGTTTGAACAATGTTTTATCTATTATAATGAATGAGACAAGCTTTGAAACAGGCAATAATCCGCCAGTAAGGGGAGCACTAACAGTTTTGGCTTCACTTTCGAGGACACTGCTATGCTGTCCATGTTTTTATGTGGTCTTTGGTCTGACCCTTAATTCTTGTGAGTTGGATAACCAGTTGTATATTTTTTTTAAAATGTATGTCGTATTTACTGTGGAACACGACAAACCCTCTTAATGTTTTTGACACAAATCGAAGTCCAGGTTTAGAAACTATTATTTACTTGTCGGAATACAGAGCCAGTGTAATAATGATGCAGTTTTGAATAAAAGCTACCCTCATCCTTAATTTGTACAACCATTTTTCTTTTACAATTCAGAGGTTAAACCTTGATACCAACTATAAATTTGTTATTAGCTGTGATGCATATTTCAGACATCTTAGACCCACAGTAAAACTTGTTTACTTCTGCTCTAGAATCAGACTCAGTTACAGATTTCAATTATTTACTTTCAAGTTGAATCGACTGATGCTATCAAAAAAGGGTTCTTACAATAATACCAATATAATCTACCGATTATATCGTATATATCGAATTTCCCTTTGGGGATCATTTAAGTTCTTCTTATCTATGTTACTAATTTTTCTGAAAATGTCAAAGTTGTGAGTCCTGACAAAACATCTGATTATGCTTTCTTCTCACAGTCAACATTATTGCAAACATTTGCTGTGTGAAAATTAAAAGTAAAATAAAGTAAAACAACACTTAAAAAGATCTCGAGCATGCTTCAATAATCATCTTATCTGACATCCAGCACAGCACAGCAAAGGAAATGTCTCTCTTGCAGCACTCCATTTCATTCTGCTTCATAACTAATAGAAAATGTACAAAATCCTTAATAAATTGTTTAATTTAATTATTAACCAGCTGAATGTTTGCATTGTGAACCTGTGAAACACCATATGTCTTTTAAATTGCTGTACAAAGTTGTTAAATGTGTTTGGTTCTTTATTCTTGTTGATGTTGTTCACATTATTTATCTTACTTCTAGAGTTTTGTGGAAATGTATTTCTTGATCATGTTATATACATCAGACATGCAGGAAATCAGCAATATATCTATTTATTGTTTTGATTGCTCTGGATTTCAATAAATCTTTAAGAAAAAAACACACACTGGCGTATTCTTCTCTCTGGTAGTGAGGGTTTTTTTTTTCTTATTTTGTCAACTCTCTTGATTCCATCTCTAAGAGCATTTCTTGGGGGGACAATGATTTTATGGCTTGATGAGTGACTTATAACTCCCTATAATTCAGATTTTTTATTCATTTATGAATGTTTCTTCTTGCATTTGCCCTCTTGTAATCTTCCTCTCTTGCACATTGATGGAAAGCTTTTGTGTTAAAATGCAGCTACTGCAAAAATAAGCCATCACAGTAATTTAGATATTTGTTGAAGTACATGATAAGTGTTCCTTTTATTTAAAAAGTATTGAGGAATCAAAAACTATGTAGGAGTGGATGATGCCAATATAGGATGCTTTAAAATCCTGAAATTCAGTTGACCTTAACAGAGCTCTCGCACAAGCAGTTGTACATCTAATGCAAGTAATCTTTATTCTGCAGGGTTGTGATTCAGTTTGAGAGCTTAACTTGTTGATATCCTGTGCGGTTTTGATTGGTTTTCGTCAAAATTGTTGGACTTAATATAATTGAAGCAGGTTTACAGTTCATTCATGTGCAAAGATAAAATAAAAGTAAGCTAATCGGAAAGTTAAAGGAATATGCTCACATAGAATGGCTTGTTGCTAAAACAACCAAGATATTGCTTTTAGTAAACAGCCAACAAGTCCAGTCATTAAGTGCTTAAAAACACAATTTTACTGCTTAAAGGTTTACCATGCCAGAAACAAAACTTGTTCATCTTGGACCAGAAAAAAACATCCATCACAGAGCTTATTATCTAAACACCATCATGCACAGCTGAATACTATCTTGTGAGCACTGCTTGCTGCTAACAAAGACAAAATTGAAAGGTTCCCACTATTTTAGATTGTTTTTATATTATACTGGTTCTTATGTAAAACCTCTAAATACCTCTTTTACAAATGTAATTTGAGGTTGTAGAAAGAAGTCGAAGCAGAAAAGTGGTACTTGTTGATCGCTAAAAATGAGTTTATCTATGAATTATGAATATCTATGAATACTGTTGCTCAATTGAAATCAGAGCACTGCTGCCACCTGCTGCTCTGTTTCACTAACCACACCACAGGATAAAGCATGGATATAGCATGAGTATTAAAAAAATACCCCCATGTTTATTTTTCTTGTTTATTCCGTATATATTGAATGTTAATTTGGCTTAAGCTTGGTCTGTTTTTTGACTGGTTGTTCTGACTATAGTTGGTGGAACAGTTGGTGGGTTTAATAATGAATAGTTCTAGCTTGATTAGCATTAAAAAAATTAAAACCTTACAATTTACATTAAGGTCAGTGTGCTTGCAACACTTTTAAACTGAAGTTCAAACCCCACTGTTTTTTTTTTTTTTTTTTTTTTTTTTGAGTTTTAATTAAATTTTTATTTAAATTTTTTTTTTGGTGGGGTTAATTATAAAAGAAAAAATCTAATTTGATTGGCATTAAAAAATGAAAACCTTACAATTTATAATAAGATCAATGTGCTTGACACTTTTTTTTTTTTTTACAATAAAATGTAAGTTGGGATCACATTTCAAGCATTTTCAAATAAATAAATGAAGCCACACCTGGCTTTAAGCAGTCAAGGAAAAAAAGTAAACTAATACTATTAAGGATAAGGTAAAAAGAAATACTAAATATAATCGTTTAGAAATGTAATGGCACTATTGTCCCTAGGTTTTTCATCTGCTGTACTTTACTTTTTTGTTATTTTAAATGTATTTTTGGTTTTATCTTAAGTTGCCATGAGATGCTGTCTCTCACATCCAATTCGTTCCTGTCTTCGTTATCAGTTTATCGACAACACCAAATTTCTTCTTCGGTGTGAAAGTACATTTAAATATCTAAACTGAAGTTTAAACTCGACCACTGTCGTCGACTTGAAATTAGTTACAAAAAAACAACTACTCTGGAGATGTAAAAAGTTAATTTCCCGGACATGGTTACAGCAAACACAGCGAGAGCGAGTCACATGACTCTGCTGTTGGGGCGGAAGTGGAAACAGTCGTTTTCCGATTGTATCCCTCCTCATCTCCCTCGCTCGAGTGCAACTATCGACCGGAGCTGGTAGGGTGAATTTTTATACTTTCCTTTTGCACTAAATCTATTTTTTTAAATCACTTTAACAAATGTTTTTAGGCCGCTTGGTCCGTGTGACAGACTTTCGGAGTAAATTACAGCCTCACATCCTGAGCTTTTCTTTTCCTCCAACTTAAACCTCATTATGATGCAGAAACGCGACAACTAACTTTGCCAACGATTCATTGTCTTGTTTGTGATATTCAGCAAAGGTTTTAAGCTTTCCTCGTCAAACAGAAGGAAGAGTGTTGTGTGATTCGTTCTCGGTTTAGAAACAAAATCAGGAAAAGTAGATTCTTCATAAAAGGGAAGACTAAAACTTGCTTCCACTTCACCTCAGGTGCTGCTGAAGCCTCCTGAGAAAGCCTTTCTCTATGGATCCCAGTGGAACCAGTAAGGGTCCCGGGCCAGGCGGGAGACCCCCCAGTCCGTCCTCAGGGACACTCATGGGTGCTAAAGGTGCACCCTCCCGGAGTGTTCAGAGGCCGAGGGTCAAGATAACTCCCTTCCACAGCTCACCCATCCTCAGCAATGATGGGACCCTCCGCAGCACACATCCAGGCTTATTTCTGAACTCACCTGGTCGTCTGGCTACTCCACCTGTCCGAGAGAGTTTACCTGCTGCAAGTGCTGCTGGGAGCTCCAAGCAGCCAGATTCAGACCCTGTGCTGACCACAACAGGAGTAAAAGTTCAGCCGAGTCCTCCAGTGATCAAGGTATTGATAAACTGGTGAAAGTATGGGGGGCTGTTTTGATATCAATATTCAATGCATGATCAGGACGATGTTTTTCATTTCTCAACCATGCTCAGTGCCTTCTCAGAGACCAAACACAACCCACCCACTCTCTTCCAGCAGCCGCTTGTTTGTAGCGAGACCTCAGGCCAGTCCATTATGGACTGCAGTGGGGTGACGCAGCTCAAGGAAGAACATTTATGATCTTTATCATTCCCTTGAAGTAATAATCACCATATTAATCATTTTGCACTGCAGACATGGTAGTTCTTCTGCCTTAGTGTCTCGATCTGATTGCATTTCCATGAAGAAATGATCATAAATGTTGTTTCTTGAGCTGCGACACCCTGCAGCAGTCCATAATGGACTGGCCTAAGGTCTCACAACAAACAAGCGGCTGCTGGAAGAGAGTGGGTGGGTTGTGTTTAGTCTCTTTGTTAAAGAAATTAGGCAAAGTTAAAAAGATGTTTGGTGGCTGGGACCCTATATGTACTGTTAATGAAGTTAGGTGCTGTTCTGAACATTATTTGTGGCTATAGAGTGGCGTTTTGGTTGAGGTTTGTTTGTGGCTCCTCAGATTGCTGTGTATTGCTATCCTGCAGTGGTTACTAAAGTTGGTATAACTAGATTCATCTCTCGAGGGGGTGTCTAACAATGTGTTACGGTGTGTTTGACCCTAGATTAATTTTATGCTGGGATATCCCTTTAAACCTGGTCATGGTTAAACATCAGTGCATATCCTGACATTTAAAAAGTTGTGAAATCCATCATCAATAGGCTTATATCAGTGTGTCATATTTGCTGAATAATAATGGTTAGGTGCCAATCCCCCTTGTTTTGATATTTTAAAGATGTGAGCATTAAGCTATAGGAAAACATAAAATAAATGCCATTAATCTGAATACTTTCTGAATCTTATTTAAGCCTCCACAGCCTGCTGATAAAAAGGTCCCAAAGTCTGGCCCGACAAACCCAAAGAAGTCTGGACATCCATCAAAAACAGATCGTCATCATAAACAGAAAGGCAAAGAAACAAAAGTTGTCTCCACAGCTCTAAAACCTCACACAGGTGAGTTTATATCTTTTGCTACTTACCTGATTAAATGTTGTTGAAAATATTTCTATTAATTATTATCATTATTATAACTATTATTATTATTTTGTTGTTATTGTTATTATTATTTCAGTTGGGGTGTTTGCTTTTAGCAAGAGAAGCTGTATTTCACCCTGAGAGTTAGTCTTTAATAATCTTTAATGCATCATCTCATTGCTAGTTATCACTGAAATGTATTCAAATGTATTTGTCCATGGAACGAGTTACTTGCCTTCTGAAAAATATTCTCCAAGAGTATTTCCTGGTGCCTAGAGTTGTGTCCACACTGGGACTGACTAATGCAGGGATGGCATTAAGTATGTGTACAAGAACACACTAACTAATAGTATTTATTTAATCTCTCAGTTGTCACAAGCCATTTCTAGTTTAACTTCTAAAATATTAGTGTAATACAGATATCAAAGAAGAGGAAGAAGAAGAAGAACTTTATTGATCCCCGAAGGGAAATTCGATTGTCTGTTGTCTCACGTAATATGTCTATAAAAGTTATCTATTATTTACATAAGAGTTATAAAGCCTGATGGCTGTTGGAACAAAAGATCTTCTAAATCTTTCTGTCCTGCAGCGAAGAGAGAGGTCAAAGTCCTCATCAAAGTCCTCTTTATACTTTTGTAACTTTAAAAATGTAATACAACTGAGATGAAAAGTGTATTTTATTCTAAGGTTGAAACCTGGGGTGGCCAATCAGATTTCAAAAGAGGGAACTTTGTAATCTCTGGCCACCCAGACATTTGGACATTTCCTTTGCAGATGCTGACTCCTAACCTCTAACCAATCTCTGTCTCTCTGTGTTTTTTCCAGCTGTGAAGAGGAGGAAAAGGAAGATGGGATTGTATAATCTGGTGCCAAAAAAGAAGGCCAAAAACATTAAGTTGCAGGAGAAGGCAGGTTCATTTATAAATTTATTTATCAAAGCCTTTACAACAGAGCTCCTCTAAGCCCAAATGTTTACAGGAAAGGGAAAACCATGTTTATTTTTAGACACTAATATCTCTTGGAATCAGAATTGATAATTTTCCTCATTTCCACCAGAGAGAAAATCAAGCATCCAATCAGATAAAGAACGGACCTGCAGCAGATGAGAGGCCTGTGATTCTGCAACAGACAGTAAATGAACCACTGATAGAGGAAGAACCTGAAAACAGCAGCCATGTTGAATACACTGAGCTGGCTCTTGACTGTCTGAACCTGAAGGCTCAGGAGGAGCTGCTCTCACCTCCACTGTCAGGTGAAGACAGAATCATGCTGATCTGGCTACAGACTATCACTGAAAGTCATCTTGTTGCCACTTTTTTCTTCCACAGACCGTGTTGTCATTGTCTTGGTTTGTTTTGTTTCTTTTTTTTTGTATGTGTAAAATGTCCGCAGATGCAGCAGCAGGCACTGAGGTGACAGAAACAGACCTTGCAGAGGAGTTACCTCTGTGTTGCTGCCGTATGGAGACTCCTCACAGCGGAGGCAGTCTGTCAACACTGGATCAGACCTGTATGGCCATGGAGAGTACAGACGGAGTGGTAAATATTGATGTGCTTTTATGATGCTGTTCCCTTGATAGATAACAGAATAAACAGTCAGAAGAGGCAGTAACTTTGTTTTATAAAAGAGACATAACACAAAAGAACTGAAGAAGCCTTTTGGAAGAGAGGTGAAACATCTTCAAGAACCTCAAGCAAGTCCAGTCGCCCTCTCAATGAAGAATCAGATAACACAAAATCTATCAGTTAGAATAGCCAAAACAGGTACTGTATTTTCCGGAATATAAGTCACACTTTTTTTCATAGTTTGGCTGGGTTTGCAGCTTACATTCAGGTGTGACTTACATATATTAAAATATGTAATTTCACATATAGTCTGATGACAGTCACACGGTAAAGGAATCTGCGCTTCCTCCACTTCCAGAGTTGGAGGAGTTGTTCAGAAGTGACACAGAGGATGAAGAATTCGATAACTTTAGTGATTTTGAGTGAGATAGAGAGTTTTATTAAAGTTGTTTTTTAAATGTTTTTTGTACTATAGTTACCTGAATTGTAAATATGTTACGTTAACATACCAGACACCTATTGAGTTTGTTGTTTATGCTTCATGTAGCTGAATAAACATCAACGTGTTACATTTGCATACCGTACACATATTCAGCCTGTTGTTCTCTATTCCATTGTTGTTATTATTATAACTTGCCTTCCAAGATTAAATGTCTGTTCTTGGATTTTTAAAATAAATTTCCCCAAAAATGCGACTTATACCAGTATATGATTTTCTACTTTATTATGCATTTTTTTGGCTGGTGTGACTCATAGTCCGGAAAATACGGTATTTATAAAAACTGATTATAGATTTTTAAAAACAATCACAGAAGGAAAGTTTTACAGGACAGCACACAGAAAAGCTCACAAAGAGTTTTGACATTGGGATTCTTGTCACACTTGCTTGTTTCAGATCATCAAACAAATATGAATATCAAACAGGGATAACCTGCATAAATACAAAATGCAGTTTTTGAAGATTAATTTTATTTCTTAAGGGAGAAAACCTCCCAAACCATCCTGGGTCTATGTGAAAAGTAGTTGCCCCTGAACAGTGTTTATTGTTCTCTGTCCACAGCTGAGTCGTTGTCAGAGAAGGGTGATGAAGCAGGAAATGATGAGACCCTCCAACACGGTCCACCTGCTGGTTCTGTGTGAGGATCACAGAGCAGGGATGGTGAAACATCAGTGCTGCCCGGGCTGTGGAGTATTCTGCAGGACGGTGAGTGGACCCAAAGCACAATGATGCTGCAGACACACAGAGGGCTGACATTAGTACTTTGGTATTAAAGGGCCATGATCCAGTTGTTTATTCAACATTAATAAAAATAGGTTTTGGTTAAATATTTGGGGAGCACTGTTTTCAATTATAAAATGACACCTGGACACAGTAAAACCTTTGCGTCTCAATGTTTTGTTATTCCTCCTGATCCTCCACAGGGCACCTTCATGGAGTGCAGACCGTACCCCAGCATCTCCCACCGCTTCCACCGTGACTGCGCCTCTATCCTAAAGGATCTCAAGTTCTGTCCCCACTGCGGAGAAGATGCCAGCGGAGCAAAGGAGGTCGTTGTAATGAAGGCTGATCCGTCTCCTTCAGTACCCAGATCGAACCCTGGACCGTCACTTCCAGCTGTCGCCACCCTACCATCCATATCAAACACTCCTGCTGTTCCACAGGTGCTCAGGGCAAAGAAAACCAGTGAGCCATACAGAGGCAGGGAGGACAGCCCGAGCAGGTATGACACCTCGTTCGATACAGGAGACAACATACAATAGTTGTTAACAAATTAAAAACGTTTCTCTGTTTCTTCAGATTGAAGAATGAAGCTGGGTGTAATACTGACAGACTTCCCAAAGAGTCTTTGGAGAGCATCCTGATGGCTCTTGATGATGAGAAGTAAGCTTCACTCTCAAATATTTTGGTATCAGATTCCAAAAAAGTGCATCAGTGGCCAGACATTTTACACTGTGATATGAGGAAATGATTAAGATGTTTTATCCAATGCAGCCTGAAGCCAAAGAAAGTGAAGTACCCAACCAGACAACTGTACATGTCTGCCAAACAAGGAGAGCTCAAGAAGGTCATTGACCTCCTGGGTAATTGTACTGTTATAGTATTACTCACTGAAACAGCTTTAAACGCAACCTCGATTATGATTTTTAGCACTGAATGATACTGATTTTTCTGTTACTATTGCAGTTGATGGAAAGGATCCAAACTTATTATCAGAAGACTACAACAAATGTACCCCTCTACATGCTGCAGCTGCTGAGGGTCACCAGGAGATCTGCCATATATTGGTCCAGGTAAGGAGACTCGTTGCAGGCTTGAACCACGGGCCTGTGTTTATGAAGTGTCTGAGTACAAAATAAGTCCTTACTTGTAGTCAATTTCAACAAGAGTCGTGCTTCTAACAAGGCAGCGGGATGTTTTTTTTTTGTTCTTTTTTTCATTTCACACAATATTTAGGTTTTTTGGCAGGAAACCCATGACAAAATCCAAAACTAAACATTTTCAAAAAAGTGTGAACTAAACTAAAAAATTCAAAACAACAAATGCAGAAAATTACCTCAACTAAACTTATCTGGTAAAAAGTGGACAACTCTCATCACAGCTGTTTACGCTGTGCACCTTAAATATGTTTACACTGATCATGCATGGTTCTGCATTCTGAAACTTCTGTCTCATTACTGCACAGCTAATAAACCACTCTAGACATATCTGTTCCACATGTTAACAGCGCGTGGAGACATAGGTCATATTCATTTGTGACCCAGTTCATGTCTTTCCTGAAAACAGGAGATTGTGTTTCCTGGTTTTGAGAGATTTGAACATTTAAACTCGGCTGTAAACATGTTTATTCTTGCTTTAAAAATAACTTTTTAACTTAGGTGTTATTGGGGAACCTTTGGATTTTGTGGCCAGCCAGCAACTGCAGGTTTTATTACTTCAGCATTAACTTCCTCTTTTTATCACCTAAGGCCCCTGCTTGTTCATAACACTCTGGATATTAGGGGTGGGAGAAAAACTCGATTCGCATAAGTGTCGTGATTTTTTGTTGAACAGTTTTTACATCAATTTTTATGTTTAAAAATTGATTTTTTTTTTTTTTCAAATTTAAGAATAAACTTAAAAACAAACTTACATGATATGTGTTGTTTTTGGGGAAATATGGTTCTTGGAATAGTCAGTCGACAATCATGATCATTTAATGGTTTCAATGGTGTTAAAAATGTAGAATAAAAATCGACAATATCGAAGAATCGCAATTTAAATCGAATCCAAAAAACCATAGAAGAATCGAATCGTGAGAAAAGCATATCGTCCCAGCCCTAGTATCTATAGTATCATATGGATTGTGTTGTGGTGCACGGTTTGGCGCTGTACTTTATTTTATTGATTATTCTGTTCTCAGGCTGGAGCCAACCTGGACATGTTTGACGAGGAGCAGAGAACACCCCTGATGGCTGCCTGTGAAAACAACCACCTGGACACCGTGAAGTACCTGCTGAGAGCTGGGGCGTCTGTCAGCCACAAGGTATGTCCTCATGCACTCCCTCTCCCAGGGAAGGGAGTTAGATCATGTCAGACAGTGTTTCCTCATCCTGTCAGCCTGATGTGTACGCATGTCAAACTCTGCTTCTTCATCCATAACTCTGTCCAGTCTCACGCCATCACCTGCTGCCACTTCTCTGCAGCTGTAAATCTTAAACCTTATGATAGAGCAAGACACAGAAATGGACATATGACTCAGTAGGAGAAATTTATCATTAGAGACAGAATATATTCTAAGTGAAGTCAGCTTAATGACTTGTTTCTTAATTAAATTTTTTCCCTCTAAAGTTTGAGCTATTTGACTCCAGAAGCCAATGATATGCTCTTCCGTTTGGACCTGGGCAGAGGTGGCAGTAGTGCATTGTTATTCATTGTGAATCATGTCACCATCCCAGGATATCATGGGTTTCACCTGCCTGCATCTGGCTGCTAAACTGGGACATTACGACATAGTCCATCATCTGCTCTCCAAGGCATCCAAATACATCAACAATCAGGTAAATGCTCACAGGACTCCATAAAACACCACATTTCACCGGGATGGATGGGATTTGCTGATTACAGGCAGAAACCTTGAGCAGAACCAGACTCATGGACAGTCATCTGTCATTAGATAGAGGGAGATGCAGAGAGAGAGAGAGAGAGACATCAATGTTCATACCCACACTCAGAAAGCAGATCTTTGTTGTCAGGTATATTATACTTGAAACTTCTTGGACTAGATTAGATTAGATTAGATAAAATAATATAAAATTGGATACATTTGGATTAGATTAGATTAAATAAAACTGGATTATATTAGATAAAATAAGATTAGATTAGTTTAAAATTAATTGTTGATTTAAAATTAATTGGATTAGATAAAATCTGTTTAAATTGGATAAAATAAATTTAGATTAGATAAAATTATTTCAGAACATTTTAATTTGGATTAGATCGGATAATAGTAGTTTAGGTCAGGTTAGATGAATTAAAGAAATATAAGATTAGATTAGTTTGGATTAGATTAGTTTGGATTAGATTAAACTGAACAAATTAGATTAGATAAAATTATTTTAGATTAGTTTAGTTTAAATTAGATAAATTTAGGTCAAGTTTAGGTTTACATTAGATAAAACTAGATTAGATTAGATAAAATAAGATTAAATTCACTGATTAGATTAGACAATTGGTCCATATAATTTAGACTACAGTGTGCTTTGAATGAAAACTAAAGCACTTCCTGCACTAAAATCCAAACTGTAAGGACAGATCATTTGTTTATGTGTAGAATCAGAAAATAGAGACCGGTTTTGCTAGCTCAACCAGAAAGTTAAAAACTTTGATGTGATTGGACAATCTAACACAACAGACACATATACTACTGCTTCACTTGTCTGGCTGGTTGTCTGGCTTGCCTCCTGGGGGACATACTGTTTGTTAAGAGTCACAAAGACACACTGGTTCATTCACGAAGTGTTGCTAGTTTTGTTAAGGATGAAAGATGTTGGTGTGAGTCTTTGCAGCAGTTTTACAGATTGTTTCTGTGCAGGACAACGGGGGGTGGACTCCCGTCACCTGGGCCATAGAGTACAAACACAAGAAGCTGGTCCACCTGCTGCTGAGCAAAGGGGTCGATGTAAACATAAGAGACAAGGTCAGTGCGCATAGCACACTGTTCACTTTCACACCACACGCTACAACACAGTGTTTTCACACTCCTTTCAACACTACAGCTGATCACAGTCAGCTCCCTGATAAGTGTGATCCCTTTGGGTGCATATTTGTAACCACTTAACTGAGAAAATGTGTGTGGTACTCGGTAGATCAGAGGATGGGGAGGGGGGGTGTCACCTTCAGCCAGGGAAGAAGTAGACTCTACTGATTAAAATTAAAGGTTCCAATGTCATTTAGCGGACGCTTTTATCCAAAGAGAGGTACGTTTAAGAGCAAGAACAATACGGGCAAAGATCTAGACAAGAGGAAATGAGTCCATGGCAAGTCATGAATTCCTAAAATTAGGTCTCAAGTTGGACTCTAGTAAGAGTCTCAGACTTGAGTACCATAACATTGATTTTATTACTTTTTAAAATATCCATCTCATATCAAGTTCGGATTTTTTCCCCTTTTCGCCTAAAAAAAGAAGAAAAATATAAAACACAGAGTAAGAACATCTAATCTAATGAGCAGCTTCATAGAGTTTCTACTGAAGTTTCATGAATATCCATTCAAAAAGGATGATTCTCTTTGAACATTATTTCATTTGTTGTATTTTTCTCAAGTTTTAGATCCATTTAAGTGCTAAGGATTGTTTCCATTGTTGATATTAGCTGTCTTCTCTATTACTACAACCTGCTGGAAGCTCCCAGTGTGCACTCACTTGTAGACAAAATGCAGAAAGCATTGATAGGTCATGTGTCATCTTATCAAGACCAGTTTTAAGGCCTGGAGTTAAAAAAGTGCCACCCCTGAGTCTGAACGCCATCTCTTTCCTGATGTCTTTTTTTTGCACCACAATCAGGAGGAGAATGTCTGCCTGCACTGGGCGGCACTGGCGGGCTGCGATGATGTGGCTCAGGCCCTGCTGGAGGCTCGGTGTGACCTTAACGCTATCAACGTTCACGGTGACTCACCACTTCATGTCGCTGCCAGAGAGAACCACCTGGAGTGTGTAATGTGAGTCTGGGAACTGAGTTTTATTGCACCGTGTAGCTTTCAATAATGTGGAGGTCAAATCAGTTTGTTGTGAACAGGATGAGTTTGATGACGTCTGGAGCGTATCATAAAAAGTTAGTCACTCTAACTCACTTTGAAACCTCTGCCTCTAAGCTGAAGTCAGTTTTTGTCCAACCCATATCTTTCTGAAATGTTTTAATTTTTGTTTCATGTCTAAATGTGCATTAACTGCCTGACTGAGAGCTGTGGAAATGAGATGGTCACCTCTCTGTGTGAACACAGTGGGCAGCAACAGCCAGGGGTTGGTTTCTCATCTCTGCAGCTGTCAGTGAAATTTTCCCGGGCACAGTGGCGTATACTAATGAGCTCAGAGTTTTAATTCTTTTCTCAAAGTCACGGCTGGATAAGAAAGTTGTAATTGTCTTAAGAACAAAACCCTGCAGATGCGTAACCCCTGATCAATGTCATTCTGCAGACAGTGTCAGAATTGAGCTGAACTTTTTTACGAGTAGTTCCTAAAAGTCAGCATGACAAATGCACTGACAGATTTATGTTTATATCCTCTCCTCTCTGAGCTTTGTGCATCTTGAACTTTTCTGCAAACACATGCCGTACACCTGCAGTAGCACCTCTGTCCTTAAAAGTTAAAGATTGTTTAGAGGTCTTTACATCGGTTAGAATGACCCTTTTAAGCAGCTGGATGATGCAGTAACCACAGGTGAAAAAAATGCCAGGTGGTTGCTTAATCATTAAGGTTAATCGTTAATGCCTCTAACAGTCAGAGCGGCGCCAGCAGTGATGCTGACGCTTAACCGATCTGTCGTGGTGAAGAAAGAGCTGAGCCGTGAGGTGAGACTCTCGATTTACCAGTCGATCTACGTGCTGATCCTCACCTATGGTCATTAGATTTGGGAAATGACCAAAAGAACAAGATCGCGGATACAAGGGACTGAAATGGGTTTCCTTCGCAGGGTGGCCTTAGAGATAGGGTAAGGAGCTCAGACACTCGGGGGGGCACTCAGAGTAGAACCACTGCTCCTCCACATCGAGAGGAACTGAGGTGGTTCGGGCATCTGGTTAGGATGCCTTCTGGACGCCTCCCGTTAGAGGTGTTCCAGACATGTCCCACCAGGAGGAGACCTCGTGGCCGGCCCAGGACCAGGTGGAGGGATTATATCTCTCGCCTGGCCCTGGAGCGCCTGGGAATCCCCCCGGAGGAGCTGGTGGAAGTAGCTGGGGTGAGGGCTGTCTGGGCTTCCCTCCTGAAGCTGCTGCCCTTGCGACTCAAACAAGTGGAAGAAAACGACAACGACGCCTCCAACAGTCAACCAACCTCATATTTGCTTTTGCAAAGTCCGAGGTAGACTTCCTGTCTGAGCCTAGTCCAGGGCTTGCGTTCAACATCTTGTTTTACAAATCGCCACCCAAAGCTTAGACTCTCCAAAAGAGAAGAAGACTTTTACAGCAATGAGTTTATGCTCGTTTTTGAGAATCACATATGGCTGGAGTTTAGGGACATTAAAGTTTGACCAAGTATTTTACATACTTTTTATGTTTCCTGGCAAATACTGTCCAGAAATATCGACAGGATATTAATTTCAGCCTCAAAATCCCCACATTACTCATCCTTTGCTACCCTAGTTTATTGTGTTTTTTTATTATTATTATCATTTTATTGTGTCTGGTCCTTCCTCTGCAGGTTGTTTCTGTCTCGAGGAGCCGATGTCAATCAGAGGAACAGGGAGGGGGAGACGGCTCTGGATTGCTGCATCCACGGCTCTAAAGTGTGGACGGCCCTCAACACCAACAAGAAGCTTACTGACGCTAGACGAGGACGAGACTGTCAAGGGGAGAGATTGCTCAGCAGGTAGACTGTAACACTGCTGTTTGTGTGTGCTGGCTGGGTCATACCATCATATTGATGTTTAGTTTTTAATATTACATATATAGGAGTGTTATTTGTTTGCTGTCTGCTCTCCTCTCTGTTTTGTGGGATTTTCATTGACACTGTTCCTCCCTGAGTTCACAGCTGTACATGTCTTTCTTATGAAACTCAGACAGAAAAATTCAATTAATCTGAAAACAGGTGTTTTTTATGTTCCTTTGTTCATGTGTCATAATTCAAACAGCTGTCACTTTGGGGTAAATGGCTTAAGAGGAGAAAACACTGTTTATAGGAAAATGGGAGTTTAAGGGAGATCTGATACAGGTGCGTCTCGAAAAAGGACATTTTTAACAGATAGAGGACTCATGATGTGGGATTTTAAAAATTTCAAGCACTTTTTTTGTTATAATTTTGAAAGTTTTGGCTCCCCCTTGTGGATGTGTGCATGTCCTACACACACATCCGCAGTCATGACTTGACAAATGTCCAGAAGACGATCATTGAGTCATTAAGCCACAGAAGGTCATCGCTCAAAAGGCTGGCTGCTCACAGAGTGCTGTACGGAAGCATATAAACGGATAATTGATAGAAAGGGAAAAATCGAAGTCAAGAAAAAGTGATTCAAGAACTTTGGAGAGCTTCACAAGGACTGAACTGAGGCTGGTGTCAGTACATGAAGAGCTACTATGCATGGACGACTTCAGGGAAGGGACTTTAACTGACACATGTCTAATATCAAGAGGAGAAAATGAGATGGACTGTTGCAAGCAGTCTGAAGTCTTTTATTCAGGTAAAAGTCAATTGAGCATTGCATTTGGAAACCAAGGTTGAAGTCTGCGATGACTTGAGATACCATGTGATCAGCTGGTGTTGGTCTGCTGTTAATATCAAGTCCAAAGTCAATGAAGAGTCTACTAGGAGATTTTAGAGCACTTACTGCTTCCATCTACAGACAAGTTTTATGGAAATACTGATTTCCTTTTCCAGCAGAACTTTGCGTCTGCCCACAGCAATAAAACTCCTACAAAAGGGTTTGCTGATCATTAGTGATGGGCACGGCAGTTCTTTTAGATGTACTGAATCACTTGAATCAGTTCATTAAAAAGATTCATTCAAAAGATTCTTTCATCGAATCTCTGAATCAGTCAGTGCTTGGCGGGAGGAGCCTGTGACTCTGACCTCCTGAACTTATACACAGCTGAACAGTTCAGGATTCAGTTCAATTCATAGCTTCTGGGTAGGGGGAGAGCTATAGCATCTGCCCTGCTGACAGCTCAACTGAAGTGAGAAAGAAACAAATCACTTGAGGAAGTGATTCGGGTCAGTACGTTCACCCAAAAGATTTGGTTCTTTTGAACGAATCGTTCGTGAACAACAAAACACTACTTATCATGGTACTGTGACTTTTTAATGTTTTATATACACCTGTATATTGGCTGAGTACCAGTCTAACCCAGATCCAAAGATAGCATGAGTTAAAACAATTTATTAATCACTGGATGTCTGCCATTGCCAAATCTGTTATTTTAAACATCAGAGTGAATGGCATTGATTTCTTTTCTAAAGTGAATTGGTCCGGCGGTGTCAGGCTAATCTTCTGACATGTTGAAATCATATTTTAAAACACTTTTTTTCCTCACCCCTCAGGGACATTTCTCGAGGTTATGAAGCCATTCCCATCACCTGTGTCAACAGTGTTGACATCGAGCCGTGCCCTGAAAACTTTAAGTACATCCCAGAAAACTGTGTCACCTCCCCACTGAACATAGACAAGGACATCACTCACTTACAGGTGAGACTTGAGGTTGCTGTAAATTTTATTACAGTGCCCTGAAGAGGCTGGAACCAGACACACATTTAATATCCTTCTCTGTGTATTTATAGAATAACTCTGATGATATACCATATTTTTATTATTCATTGCCAATCCCATGTGCAGAGACAAAATAGCAATGACTATCCTGTTAAAAAGAACTGTGTGTAAATCCAAAACCTGATATACCTCCATCCTTGGTGCCATACAGCTTCTATTGTGTCCAAAAATGTTTGCCAAATGTTGTAACCCTTAGTCTGCTTTTAGAAAATAACGACCTTTATTGGTCGTCTTTTGACAATGGGAATGCAAATCAGTGCATACTGTACTGGAATGAAGCAGACATGAAATAATGCAGTTTCACATGAAAAAAATGTGGTTTGTAAGCTGAGCTCCTTGCGACCTTGGCTAACTAAATAACTGTACTGTATCTGTTTAAAGGATGCAGTTTCAACAGCTTTAGCTTTACCCTGAAGAATAAGGAAGTAGTTCACAGGAACTGTGTTTTTGCCAAACGGACAGCTTGCACATGAATCTCTGGTAAATGTGTTTTTAAAGTTAGAACATGGGACACTGGGCAGAAAAAGAGGATACTAGTCTTATTCTGTCACATGGTGCTGCTGTGAACTTCTGCTTTGGACTAAGCTTAGATAAGATAAGACAAGCTTTATTTATCCCCAGGGTAAAATTTGACTTGGTAAAATGACAAAAATGAGTAATCACCTCATTTGAAGTGCTCTGATTTCTCTTTATAGTGAATTTTGGGAACTTATTTTGTCAAAGACATTAGAGTCTCTAAATATCTAAGTTACAAAAAGCCATGATAGCTCACTTGTGATATCTTGCTCATCGTCTCTTTCAGCACTGCAGTTGTACAGACGACTGCTCCTCCAGCACCTGTGTTTGTGGTCAGCTGAGTCTGCAATGTTGGTATGACAGCGTAAGTAAACTCACACAAAAAAAAGCTTCAAAATGCAAATCAGATTTTTAAATTTATTTTCATTCATTTCAAATATTCACCTTGTACCTGTGGTGCTCCAAAAGCAGCTGAAAATTCATCCAAGGAAAAAAAATTGTTCTCTTTGTGTTTGTGTAGGAGGGTCGACTCCCTCTAGACTTCTGTCAGCGAGAGCCCCCGGTGCTGTTCGAGTGTAATCACGCCTGCTCCTGCTGGAGGAACTGCAGGAACCGAGTGGTCCAGAACGGACTGAGGTGGGCTGTTCCTCTTTTTCTGGTGTCACTTGTAGCTCTTTAGCTCCACTCAGTATACTATTGCATTTATTTTAATAATATTTTAGGCCTCTGGAGATTTTATATAAATTTTCCTTTTCCCTTTTTTATGTCAGGGTCCGGGTGCAGCTTTTCAGGACACAGAAGATGGGCTGGGGAGTCAGAGCCATGCAGGACATCCCTCAAGGAACTTTTGTTTGCGAGTGAGAACAGACTTTCACTTAGGATAACACATCTATGTTTAATGTTTTAAAATACTAAAAAAAAAAAAACAATGCTTTCACAGATATATCGGGGAGATCATCTCTGACGCCGAGGCTGACAAGAGAGAGAATGACTCCTTTCTCTTCACTCTTGACAACAAGGTAATGAACTGTTTGATACACTTGTTTAAAGCTATGACAGGAAATCACATCCTGCTGTCTGCCAATGAAATGCTCAGAGTTTTGCTTTGAGTGTTGTTCCTGTTTTACTTTCAGGTTTTTCTTCACCTCAGGGGCTCCTCAAATTTGAACATTTGCAGAATTTTAAACTGATATTCTGATGCCAACAACACATCTCAGAAGACGTAGGGACTTCAAATTACTATCCAAAAAACAAAAAAAGCCTTGGGAAAAATCTTTTTAACTAATCATGGTACTTCGAAATAATCTTGTAACAGGCATTCTGGAAAGGCTGAGTAAATATAGAGGCAGGTTAACACTCTCTGAGAGATTTTGTGAGCAAATGGTTCTACAATTTCAGAATTTTTTCAGAACTTTTAGTGTAAAATTGGAAAAAAAGAAAATGTATGTTTTTCATCATCTACATTTCATAATATCCAATAATTCTGAGAATCTGGAGACATCTCTGCTCATAATGGACAAGGCTGAAAACCAAGTATGGGGACAGTGGCCAGTATTGGGTCATTTAAAGAGACATGACTGTGCTGGAGATCACTGCATGAGCTCAAAATTTCTCCCAAATTTTCTCAAAAAATTCTGTGCATAAAAAGGACCAGATATGCACGACTCAGAAACTCTGATAACTTCTCTTGGCTGGAGTCCATTTAAGATGGACTGAAGGGAAGTGGAAAACTCTCCTGTGGTCTGTTGACACAAAATAATCCTGAATATGTTTATTGGGTGCATGTTTCATACAAGTTACAAACAAGTTTCTTAAACATCCACACACATTCTTTTGTATTTTTTAAAACTACTTAATATTGTATACTGTATGTTAATTAATAAATAATAAATCAATCTTGTGCAGGTTGAGGATGTCCACTGTATTGATGCAAGACTGTTTGGCAACATCGGCCGCTTCTTCAATCACCTGTGTGAGCCTAACTTGCTGGCTGTTCGGGTGTTCACCATGCACCAGGATCTACGCTTCCCCAGGATCGCCTTCTTCTCCAGCAGGCCAATCAAAGCTGGGGACCAGATAGGGTGAGTGAGAGGCAAACAATCTCAAGCCTGACAGCTGTCTGCTCAACTATATCAAAGAGCAAAATAACCGGGGGTTATTAAAAAAATGACGTATATCTCAAATTTGGGGGCTGGTTAAGCTAATATTTACAAACACCAATAAAAAGATCCCTCAATCCTGAGCACATCAGCTGCAAGATCATCTCTCAACTTCAGCCAATTGATGCCAGTCTACCTCTATTTCATCATTCTTATTATTATCATTATTTTCATTATTCTGTATTGCAGTAGAATTGAAAGAAGTATTGCTTTTGTTTACTTTTTATAATTGTTGTACCAAAGCTTAAAACACTGGCAATCTTATTTCCTCATAAAAAGAGTCATTATTAGTGTTTTAACCTTCTCTGATTAGACTTTCTCTAATCTTTATACCCCGTCTTAAAAAATAAAAACAAAAAAAGAAGTTAGTTGACGAACTAATGTCTCTTCCTCACCAGGTTTGACTATGGCGATCATTACTGGAGGGTAAAGAGCAAGTTCCTCAGCTGCCACTGTGGTTCCCTCAAGTGTCGTCACTCAGCTGCCAGCAGATAAAAACTAACTCACCTCTCTTTGTCTAGATACATTCTTTAGCTGTGACTTTTCTAATGTTTGAATCATGAAACAACTTTTATTTATACACCAAACACTGACAGTTTTCTGTATGGAGACCCTAGTTTGCCACAAGCCACAATTTATGGATACATTAGACAATTATGGACCCAACCTTTATTACTGCAAAGTATTATATTTGTAGATTAATTAAGTGAATTATGTTTTTGGTAGTCTGTTCTGATCAATGAGTATACTTTTTACTACTCTGATTAGCTATTAAAAACCATTTCAAAGCTTCTGTTTGTCTTTATTTTTGTGGCTGTCTAGCAGTCAGTTCCAGTTTATCAGAATTGTGTAGGAAGTCAATTGTTGGTGAAGAGTTCTTCCAATACATGATTTTGACACAATTCGGCGTGTACCTATATATTTTCAAAATGTTGTTATATAATTGATTTAGTGTACATAGTTTCTCTTGTCTGATCCTCAAAAACCAGCCTGAATTTTTGGTCATTTGGTTCAGAGAAAAAAAAATTATCCATCAAGCAGCTTAGAAAATTTGTTGTGTTGTAAAATTGTTCTGCCATTATAAAATTGTTCGACATGTGAGTGAGGTTGGTGTATTTTAACCTGAGTTTAAATAAAGGTAGGACATTGAAAAATGTTATTAAAGACAGTTTCAGGATTTTGAAATAGTTTTACAGTCTATACTTCTTTGATAAGAGTATGAAGACATATCAGAAGTTTAGCCTGAAATGTTTGATGTGTGAAAAAAAAAACATGCCCACTCAACTTTTAAAGTTGAGATAGGACCATGTTTATCACTGTGTTTCGTGTTTCATCTCCAAAAAACACTCTGTTACGGGAACTGAGACTAATTTCTGGAGTTTTAAAAAGTGGAATAGTGCCCCACTTCCCTGAAATATGATTTCAGCTGCCTAGTAGTTCCTGGGGCTTCTTTGTTATTGTTGGACTGTTCCACAGAAGACGACAGCGAGAAGACGAGCAAAGAAGTAAGTGGAAAGCATATTGTTTAATTTCGCTCTTTGACCATGTTGCGCCTGAGTTGAGATGAAGTTGAACTGGAGGATGCCGGTGTAGTTTTACCTTTGGCTAACACGGGGGACCTACTATGCCCTGAAAGACCACCCAAGAGAGGAGACTCAAGTGCGTTAGCTTTACGGACCGGTTGGTTTACTCGTAGAAATAAGTACTCAGACCCCTGGTAACGGGCTTCGGTTTCTTTGTTTTTCATCGGTAACTTCCGTTGTCCTTTTTTCATCCTTTTATTTTTGAAGTAAGTAACTTTTTCTTTTCTTTTTTTTTCATCACTTTTTTTGCATCGTTAACTTCCATTGTGGCCTTTTTCTTTAAATCTGCACCATTTCTTTTTTTATTTGCAGCAGGCTTCCGATTTGTGTTTTTTTTCTTATCAGTAATTTCTGTTGTCTTTTTTTATTTGCATCCTTTTATTTTTGCAGCAAGTCGCTTTTTCTTTTTCTGCATCATTTACTTCTGTTGTGGCCTTTTTCTTTAAATCTGCACTGATTGTTTTTTTTTATTTGCAGCAGGCTTTGGTTTCTTTTTTTCATCGGTAACTTTCATTGTGGCATTTTTAAGTTGCCTCCTTTTTATTTTTGTAGTAGATAACTTCTGTTGTGGCTTCTTCTTTTTCTTTTCTTTTTTTTTTCAGCAGTGGCGGTTCTTAGCCACCGTACAGATGGTCATAGGCCTACATAGTTCTGCTTATCTTGTTGATAAACTGTATTTTGAGTTAATATTTCTTGAAGACTTTTTAATATTCCGTGTAACTTTGTTTCTCGAAGGAGGCGGTGTGGTCTCTCTCTCTCTCTCTCTCTCTCTCTCTCCTCCCTGTTGCTATGGAAACAGGGCCGATCCAGGTGGAGCCACTGGCTGGCGTCTCCTCAGTCACGTGGGCTTCTCTCTGGCTAAGGAGCGGTTGAGAAAGTGGACACCACATTCACATCAACAGCCGTGATTTCTTCTTATTCCACGACAGAAAGAAAATGCGTTTTTCTCTTGACTGGACGGAGAAACGTCCACTGGTAACCCTCTCTTGAAAGTCTTCGTTGGGGAAGGAAAAATAAGATTTGTGGAAGGTTTCTGGAGGAAAATTAATGTTGACACCCTACGCTGCCAGCTCTCTTTTTTTAATTTTGGAAAGCTTGGTGTTAAATTGGTGTTTTTAAAACAGGGGTTTGGTGGAAAGCGAATCACATAGCACGGACAACGGCGGGATCTTACAGCTTCTTCTTGTAGGGAGGACCTGGGCAGTAAAGCGAGGGAGGAACACCCATGAAAACATGATGCATCATGAAGTCTGATTACCTAAACTTTGAGCAACAATTTCACATGTGACAAACATGGGAGGCAACAGAGACGAGGAGCTGACAGACTGATGAAAACCAACCCTCCCTGTCCGTGGTGTCTGGGTGTGAATGTTTGACTCTCCTGTTCGCGGACGGTACACGCACCTAAAGGACTCCGGGGACGGGACGGCGGTGTGTGTTGTGATGCTTCTTCTCTTTTTCTTTTCTGGTGTCAGTTTTGGTTTCTCCAGAAAGATCTGTACTCTCCCGGAATGGCTCGCTTTGAAGACGAACTGTCCAGCCGATATGGAGGCAGCTGTACCGCGGGGCCGGCTAGAGGGGCCAGCCGGCCGCCGGGGCCTCCGGGGGTCCAGAGGATGTACAAGCAGACGATGGCCCAGAGAGCTCGGACCATGGCTATTTACAATCCCATTCCTGTCAAACAGAGCTGCCTCACCGTTAACCGCTCTCTGTTCATCTTCAGTGAGGATAATATCATACGGAAATATGCCAAAAAGATCACCGAATGGCCATATCCTTACACTACAGTCTACCATTATACATGATGTTCTATTATGTGCCAAAACTCTGTCGAAAATATGCCCATTTAACTTCCATTGCGCATCAATAGAAGTTGCGTACATTTGTAGTGTTTTCTTTTATTCCACCTGAAGTTTCACGATTTAACCATTAATTCGGCAAAGCTTTTACGACTCAGAAGTTCCACAGTTGGTTCTCCTGTTGTTTCCACAACCTTCAGTACAGGAAAAGGGCGGAAGAGACAACGATTTTTTTTTGTTGAATGAATACCCTGAGATCATTTTCTATCATGTTTGAGTCATTGGAGTCATGCATAATTGTTTATTTTTCGACCTGGACAGAGTATAGCCTAATTTTGATTCATTTAAAATGAACTAATGTTGCTTTTTGTTTCATATAAGATCACTTTTTCCTCAGGACTTCTAATCTATATGGTTTTATTTCGTATTATAATTGATCATTTTAAGCTCTGTTGTTTGTGTGCATTGAGGACAGATGGGTGTAAGCCTCCTGTCATATCAGGCATCATGTATTCTCCGCTGAATTTATGAATCAGCCTTTATTATGGCATGAAGCAGTGTTTCAAGTGTGTTTCCCCATCGTTGTCTGGCTGACTTGGCCTGCAGTCTGCAGAGGGTGCTGTCCGTGGTGCTGAACTGGCTCGAGCATCAAGGCATTGGCAAACTGCATGGGTGTGACAGCAAACAAACAAGCCATAGCAATAAAACGCAGCAGGATGCGGGTTTGAAATGAGCCAGGGGGTGCATATTTGATGAATACGCTGTCAGTGATTATGAAAGCGTGGGTGCAACTTGTTGAGTTTTGCCACCCCAGCAGAATAATCCCTCACTGCTGCAGTTTTGAATACTTTGTGAGGATAAGTCAATCCTTAAACACCTTCCATGTCAATGAATTCTGTAGGTGTTGCGATTAATTCATATTATGTGTTGTAATTGTCTCCATTACTTCAGTCGCTGGTTGATTGAGCAAACATTTATCACACTGTCATGTCACCATGCATGATAGAGCCTGGCTTTATCCTGATGCACAGCATTAATGCACTGCAGCAGGAAGATCTGTTATGCCCCGACAAGCGTTGGGCTCCTCCTGGCAGAGCTGGAACAGTCCTGAGGGGGATGATGGAGGGTGCACAACAGCGGTGCACTGCCAAGGGGGGGGGGAGGTATCAACAAATCTGAGCATCATTTTAGGAAATAGCTGGGAACTCTACTCCCCAGAGATGTAGAAATGTTGCACAACTATGATGATCCTTGCAGGCTTTGACTTGCTTGTGTTGTTATCCATCAGGGAAAGAGATGCTTTGTGAAATTGTTTATATGCATCAGATTTAAGTAAAAATAACTTACGAACTGCTTTGTTGATATGAAAGAGCGGTTCATCCTTCACCAGGAGCACCAGTCCGTCTGAGCCTTTTTGCGTGATCTTGCCAAAATCTGAAAAAGTAACCTCTGTGATGTCATGAGGGTTTCTCTCAGCTTAAGCATGTGACTTAAAATATTTAACAGGAAGTCTGCATTATAAATCAGGTCTGTTGCACTTGAAAGAAATTAGTATTAATGAGCTTGGGAGGCCGGGGGCTGATGGGGGAGAATGTTCTAATGAAAGACGCTCTGGGAAATGCAACATCCTGTGTTTCTGAAGTCTTGACAGATTCTAGAGCTTAACTGTTTCGGCTCAACTATCTACGCGGTTCAATTAAAAGGATAAGAATAGATTCATTTGTTTTGTTTAGTTCACTGGCACATTAAACTCCTGTATCAGCTGACATGTGCCCCATGTTTTACCTGTAAAAACCTTTTATTTTTGTTTTCACCAGAGCCGGCCCAAGCCTCAATGGGGCCCTAAGCAAAATCTGATTTTGGGGTCCTCTATTTCTGCCAGTAATATTGATTGTTGATCATTCATGCACCTACTAGGGTATAAGTTTAATGCCATGGGGCCCTAAGCAGAGGCTAAGTTTGATTATGCCTTGGACCGCCTCTGGTTTTCACAAATGCTATCAATGAAGGGTCAGAGCAGTAAAATGTTCTGAGCTTTTGAAGCTACTCTTTAAGTCCTCCAGGTCACATGCGATTAGCAGTGTAGACTATCTAACTACTGTATGTCTACCAA